TTTAAGACGCATGGATTCTCATAAATAGGATAATTTATATTTCATACAATCATCCATGTATTAAAATAGTTTAAGTTTTGATAAAAGTAGTATATCATAATTCAATATGTTAAGATTTGATAATAGTTTCCTAAAGATCCCATGTTTAATCATTCTAGATACATCTTAATGTGTTTATCCATATAATGATTCAATTTCCTAATGTGTGTGTGAGAAAGAGAAAGAGGGAGAGAAAGAGGGAGAGAAGATGGAGAAAAATATAATAATATATATTTAAAATATTATTCAATTATCTTGGTTCTTATTTCTAATGGTTTTTTTACTTTCTCTTCCAAGGAACTAAACAATTGTGTATTGTTTGTGTTGTATCAATAAGATTAATTTCCAATAACAATTCATGAGCTCATGCCAAGCATATATAACATATAGAACATGAGCTACAATCTATATAGAACATGCAGCAATTTTGATTATAATAACAAGCATAGAACATATATGGAGTTTCTTAATATTTCATTCTTCTCATTTAGTCATCTTTTTATTTTTTAAACTCATAAATGATCTAGCAACTCTATGGAGAAAAGGTAATCTCGCAACTTGTAATTATAGCATTGTGGTAAAAAATGTATACAACCCCTTAATATATTTGTTTAATTCTATAATGACTTTAGTACAATAGTCATGTTGTGTATATATATTTCTTATATTATAAAATCAAATGTTAGCTCATTGGGTAGGTAACAACTCTACAAAGACTATGGAAAATATAATTTCCTCTTTCATCATCCATCTGACTATGGTTGCATTATCTTCTCAAGTTATGAGTCCAATTTTAGTTAACCACTCTTTGTAACTAATGAGGAATTTGAAATGTCTCATATTTAACAAGTTAGTAAGATTAATATCTTTTGAATAAGTTTTCACAACTAAATTTTTGGAGTTGACATCAAGTCTAATTATATGTTTACCATGATAATATACACTTTAAGTTAGATACACAGAAGAGGGAGGGAGTGAGAGAAGGAGAGATAGAGAGAGGAGGATATGAAAGGCAAGATGATAATTCAAAGGACAAGCAGATGTGAAGCCTTTGCCTTACAGATCTAGGTAATTGTTAGCAGTAGACAATATACATATTCAATGATTTTATGTTTAATTATATGACAAAATATCTAACTCATGGCAACGTTGTAATTCATAATTTTAAGTGTGAATTTCTTATTCTCCATCCCATAAATCATCAGGTTCTAATTTTAACTCAATGGGAATTGAACATAAACTAATTGCCAAAGAAATGATCATGTAGTAGCAAACTTTCATTCTTCAACAAGTATTTTTTGTTAATCCCTTTGATAAAATAAGTCATTTCTTCATGATAAACTAGGTCCATATAGATTATGGATGAATTAAATATTTTAATCAAGCTACACTACATAACAACCCATAATGCAGCATGTTCAATGCACATGAGTCATAAAGATGACTTTTTAGTAATTCAGTTGACCATCTACTCTTTTTAACATCTTCTTGCACCAACACATCATAAATTCTTCTAAGAGATGACTTAAACTATTTTCATGGCTCCTCACTAGCAACTCTTTCACATAAGTGATGAGACAACCTCAACTAGATTTTCTAGTGTCAATCAAACCAGAGTCCAATACAGAATTAAAAACAATATTTCACTTGGCAAGAACAAACTTGTTACTTTTAAGCAAGATTGACCATTGCGATTCATAATTGCAACACTTTTAGAGAACCTTATCATGTTTATATGTTCTAAGAGTTATGTATAATGCTAGTTGAATCTTTGCTTAGTCAAGTTGACTGAAAGACTAACTTGTTGAGCAAATGGCACTATTTAGTTATTATATTCTAAGATCCTACATATGATTTTAAAAATGTTCAAAGGTGATGAATCAAATTAATTGCTTTCATAGTTATATTTAAAATATTAAGAAATCAAGCAATGTGAACCTTGGCATGGGCTACTTTTGTCATATCAGATCTACAACTGATATAAAGCCTTATTACATATCAAAAGGCTGTTGAATCATAACAACATACACCTATGTTAAGTTTAAAATGGTCAAAGTGTGTTTATGCTCCAACCATATAGCATGGTATATTGTGAGTTGTATTTGGTGAGTTTTTTCCTTTAAATTTCCTTTAACCTTACCAAATCGTAATAAAATGCTTATTTATTTACATTAGTTCATATTTGTTTCTATGTAAAAATTATTACTTGGGGTCTATGTGAATTAGAGTTACACATCATTCACCTTCCAAGCCACTCATGAAGGATGATTCACTTGATCCCTCAATTATGTTATATCCCATCTCTTCTTTCTCAGCTATCTTTCTCTCACAATCTTTCAGCTTTGATAGATTGGGGGCCATATGTTCTTAAACTAGCTTCACAATTTCACACTTAAAACATGATTCTTGATTTTTTCTTTGTACTAAGTTAGATTAATATCTTGTAAAATGAATATACCCTTAGACTTGGCTTGGCAAGGCCTGAGTGCCCAATGCAATTCATTGATGCCTCAGCCATCCACTATATTAGCCACCAAAACTGAAGTTACGACCATCTAGTGATATGCCAAACATAGACTTTTTAAGTTAAAGGTAGTCACAAATAAATTAAATATTTTTTTATCATTGATATATTTCCAACAAATGAGGATCATTGAGTATTATACTTTTCAATTGTTCATCATCTGCACCCATGAATTAAACTTGCGATTTTGATATCTTGCACAATGATTTGAAATCAGTAACAATGCATATATCTCTACCATGCTAACATTGTATGAATGCTCAATTTTTACATCTAATGATTGGCATAAATAGAACAATTTTGGGGAATCATGCACTTTTAAAAATCAAAATTATTTGATATATCTGGATATTCTTGCTCAAAGCTAGTATATTCATAGTACACCTTATAAAGTAGCATAATAGTGGTGCACCTATGTAATTGATGCCCAATGGTTGCCATATGGAACTATTAGTACAAACAATAATTGATCAAACATTGAAAATTGTTCTTTTCACAAAATACACTTTGAAATGCATCTTATAATTTACAAAATTGATATTATTTAGATATAATTGATGAATGAAACCCTTTGGAATGGCCATCTCCAAATATTTCGTATCAACATACCTAAATACATCTCTAAAGGTGTATTTTCGAAATGGTGACTTAGTGGAAATGTGTTACTCTTGAATATAACACTGCAATACTTATACCATCAAGAATAGTGTGCCATTAAGAGGAAAATATGAAAGTTTATTCTGGTGATAAGGAATTGAAATAATTTATCCTCTTTAAACGTAGTTAGCCTTTGGAGTGTATATGATCACCACAAAACTCTAAAAGCATAGAAATGAGATCTGTCAAAATAATTGTTTTTGTTCTTTGCCTACTGGCTATTTTGTGTCAATTTATCTGAAGAAAAAATACCAATTGACTTGGTTGCATGTGAAATCACAACCGTCAAAGGGTAAGGCTGTCATTGAGATGGATCCAAGTCCTTGCCCACAATTTGTTAGGGTTTCTCCTAATTCACGATAGGTCCACACCCATGCCGTGGCATGTAGGATCAATTGGTATCTGGTTCAGACCATTTGTCTGCAAATTCAGAGGAAATTTATATCACCCAACAGCATATTAGCTATCTGCAAACTAAAATCTCCCAAATGGTGAACCTCAATGGGCATTTTGGGTTCATTCAATTCACCTTAACCGACCAAGAGTATCTAGCTTTAGAAATAATAACATTCATATTAAGCCCAGTAATTGAATAAACATAAATCGGATGGTAGAACATGAATAAACCGATCACTTTCTCGTTGACTATTGTCAGTTTCCCTCATTTCAGGAAAAAAAAATCTCTATTTTTTTCTAGAATCATTCTATAAATTAGAGACTGTCATAGAATAAGAGTCAACCCGCCATTTTTGATAATTAATGTCTTTTATAACAGAAAATTACTCACAATCGTATCTTCATCAATGAAAATCGCCCACATTTTGCTCTAAATCGCCAATTACTTAGGCCAGATCCTGTAGTCAACCAACAAGGACCTACTGACCAACCGGTTCTTTTGCCTCAGTTCCCCTTCTGTCCTGACTCAGCACATATTTAAGAGAAGAATAGAACGTCCTTTGTCTTTGAAGAAACATTCTCTGAAGAACATGGCAATCTATGAGGATCTCTGTACACACAAAAATACCATATGTCGTGGCAATCAAGGTTTGGGACGGCTCCTTTAAGCAGATCAGGCCCATCGGGTTGACTTCAAGATGAACAGAATTGAAATCCCCAACTAAGAAAAAAAGGATGCTATGTTGTGAACAAAGATCAGAAAGGGTACCCAATACATTAAATAGAGTTAAGAAAAGAAAACGAGCCCGGACAGATGAGATCTTAATCAGTCCATTTGGGCGGTCAGCATTGGAGAATAAAATTTGATCTTTGATGGCATCGCCCATATATTTCAATTCATACAATATAACCCGGTCCCCGAGTACTTTTACCAGGAAGAAAAGGATTCTCATAACACAACTGACATCTGAAACAGTACAGAACCCTTTCAATGCAACATTTTATGACATACAATGCCGTTTAACCAAGAGGATGACATTCTGAAACATCTTGATTTGCATATTATTTTGGGAATGTTTCTTTCAATCAACCTACGAAGAGGCCTGTGTAGTCAAACTGATATCTTCTGAACGAAAAATGTTGAATCGACCCCGCCGGAAGACTATTCAATACTTAAAGCATTGCCTTGGCTAGGAAAAAGACGACTCCAGATGAAAAACCACATTGTAACAATCTCAAGCGCAAGAAATTGGTCTGAGTCAGGATGTTGGAAAGCACGAGCCGATTACAAATACTTCCACAGACCAGGCTCTGGTATGATGCCGATCTAAAAACAGATCTCTCAACTCTAAGAACATTAAAGATCGAAAACCTAACAGATAAATCAGGCAGTGAGGACGACGGCACCTCCAGCCTCCTTGATCTTCTTCTCGGCGTTCTTGGAAATAAGCTTGGCCTTCACGACGATGGGTTGAGACGGCGGCAGGGCGCCCTTGCCTAGGACCTTGAAGTACCCAAACTGGGTGACGTCAATGAGAGGGGCAGCGGACCCGTCACCGGTGGCCTTTGCCTTGACCTCATCGGGAACGAGGGACCAGAGACGCTCGACGTTGACGGTGGGGCAGAAGAACTTGTTCCTCAGCTTGTGGAAGTAACGCATCCCAACCTTACCGAAGTACCCAGGATGGTACTTGTCGAAGAGGATCCTGTGGTGGTGCAAACCTCCAGCATTACCGCGACCGCCGGGGTGCTTCCTGTGCTTCCCGACACGACCATGGCCGGCGCTCACATGGCCTCTCTTCTTCCTGTTCTTCCTGAGCCTGGTCGTCATCTCCGCCGCTCTGTCCTCCCCTCCCTGCGGCTGCCGCTAGGGTTTCAGGAGATATGGAAACGGTTGAAGAAGGCTATTTTATAGCAAGGTCGACATGGATCCACACTAAATGGGCCTGACCTCTCTCTCTGTCCCCCTCTGACAGAGGCGTATAGGGAGGGCCGGCCCAGACTGGGCCGATTAGACTTTCGGGGCTTCCTAGTCCCAGCCCATAGACGGCTTCAGTCCAAAGGCACATCTTCTTCCATGTCAATGGGCCAGGCCCAGTCTGGAGTCCATTTTCGGACCCGGCCCGTGGATGCTACTAATCAAAGGCGACATTTTTTTCACTATTGAATTCCAAGGTACCATAATGCTTGATGGAATAAGAGAATATGAAAGAACCCATGATTGATTTGATATTAAGTTTACACCCCCAGCAAGCAAAGCTACAAAGAATGAGACCCAGAAAAAAAGAGAGGAAAATCGCATTAAAATGCCGGTGCCAATAAATCTACCTCAAAAGAATAATCAAATGAAATATTATCACATTTTCTCTAAGAGATATCTTCCTTGCTGATTATTTTCCTTCTTGATCGGCAATGGAGTCCAAGAGAGTTTCTATGTCAGGGGTCACAAGGGCGCGGCTGTTGAGCTCCCCGAGGAGTGAGCAATGCTTCTCCTGGGCGTTGACCCCCATCACATCCTGGGCAAACACGCACTTTGAACCGGGGTTGACCTGCACAGCCAAGAAAATTTCAACAGTTTAGTCAAACACATGGGGGGTTGTGGTGAAGCTTCTCTGGTGGAGTCAGCAGGAGAAGTCCTACTACCCTTTTATGAAAAGAAAAAAAAAACACTAGCTTGTGTTCCCTTCTCTTCACTTGAGACCAGAAGTAACAACGGTCTGCTAGAGAGAGAGAGAGAGAGTTGAAAGAATCAGAGGTTGGCACTATGATTCCATGAAGGAGAGTAACCCACTTACATCAAAGAGGGCGTCCCCGAGCTTCATCTTGACGACCCCGCTTCTGTACACGAGCATCTTCCCCATCAATCCAGCAGGAAGATCCTCCAGGCTACAGCGCTTCTCAGCGACCACTCCCTCACTGCTGCCGACCCCTTTCCCCCTCTCGGAATCGGCAGCAGCCGCCCCTGAAATCTCCGATGATGGAAGAGATGCAGGTAATTGGAAGAAGAGCATTCTTGGAGCCCCTCCATCGTCCTTCCATCAGCAAAAGCCACCGTCAATGGGAGAGCTCGGAAGGACCAAGAAGCAATGGGTAACGAGGAAGAAAGGGGGGGGAGGAGTGGCAACCATCAAGCCCAGCTCCACGGCAGGGTTTGTGCGAACTTCGTCGAGCTGAAAATCCCCAGAAGCCTCCCCAAACTCGTCGTCGTCCAGAGTTTCTGAGAGAAGATTTCACTAGAAGGTCAGTAACATTCTTCCATGTAATTAATTACATGGGCAACGACCTGAAGATCTGCTGGATTGCCATTAAAAGTAATGTTCTACTACACAATTGCATGGAGCTCTACTGAGTTTCCATAAAAGGAAAGGAAAATTGTTACATGCAAATCAGCATCACAGGCCATTGTCTGAAATGGGCTCACCTGGGTTCCCAGAATAAGGCCTCCTCAGAGGAAGGGTGACCGGATAGTATGAATAATAATCCTACAATAATTAAAAAATTGCCTGAGATCCAGAATATGTATATATATGTTTGTGAAGAAAAAAATGAGGAAGATGGAAGATGATCATATAGGAACAGACCCATGGCTCCACATATTCTTTCTCAATGGTTTGGCCTGGTCCATCTGCACCATCTATGGACATGAACATAAAAATAAATAAATTAATTAAGAACTAAGAAGACTGCCAAGGACAGTAAAGAATCGAGAACCAGTAGATGAAGACCTTCATGTTTCTGCAGAGGCTTCGGAACGCCAAAGGGCCTGGCATAGGTGCCTGCACTCTGATGCCCAAAGGCGACCTGAATTGGCACTCCTGCGATTGGATATTTTAGACTGTATCAGCCTTAAAATGTCAACCCTCGGTAATTACAAGATCGTGAAAATGAATCAAGGGAGAGATCAAACGTAGACAAATTTGTCAAAGCAAATAGCTCTGTGGATCAGAGCTCCTCTGCTTCCGTTTCTCAATTTCAAGGTTAAAAAAAATGATAACTCTAGGATCTAGAAACAAGGACAACCAGAAACGAAGGAAGGAGTAAAGAACAGGAATAAATCATGGTGGCTGTCTGCAACTCTCTCACCTTTCTTCTCATCCTTGAAAGCTCTCCTTCCAGGAGCAAGCTCGGCTTGCTGAGGAAGAAGATAGAGTCGTTCGTCAGCATCATCATCATCATGATCCTAATGAGAAGGGAAAGCATGCACATAACCGGGCGCTACTTTGGCGCGCAGTGGAAGCATGGGAGAAAGTCAGTCTCACCTTGACACGCCTCAGTAGCTCGTGGTCTAGGACAAGGCTGGAAGTCTCCTCGGGCTCCTCTCTGCATGGCGGAGATGAGATTTTTAAGAGATGGGTACTAACAATTATAGAAGAAAACCGTATAAGACGACTACCTCTTAACGACGGGGGCTGGCTTGGAGGGCTTGCGGGCAGGTATCTTGGGTGCAAATTTTAGCTGCAGATGAAACAGAGGCCAGGGTCAGGGAAGCTCAATGGAGCCACAGAGAGAGAGAGGGAGAGGGAGGAATAGAGGGACGGTGGTTGACCTTTCTAGGACCGACGGTGGAAGATAACTCGTCCCCCATCCCCGGGCGATGCGGGACAAGCAGCAATGAGACCTGAGAGGAGGAAGTTGCGCGCACACAGAGGAGAAAGAGAAACGTCAAAAGGTCTCTCAGCAGCTATCATACGCCACCCTAAATCTTATGAATGTGGAGAAGCTCTGTTCTCAGGCTAACACGGATCCCAGTTAAGCCTCATTGTGAGGGAGGTTGTGGATGAAGGATGTAGGAGAAGGATAAGCACACGTATGAGAAAGGGACAATGGAAGTACCTCTCTAAAGGCGACGCTGCGGACGGGCGAGCGCTGGCGGCCTTCGGGTTCAGGCGGAGAACTGCCGGAAAGCCAATGATGGTAGGCAGCAGACAGAGAGGAGCTGGGCTAGGCGAGGATTGCAGAGGTCTGCGAAGGCTGGCGGCAGATGTTGATGAAAGGTCAGGGGCAGCGGAGGCGGAGATGGCGGTCGGCCGCTCGGCGGCGGTATCTACCTTTCCTTTCAAGCAGCGAGCTGAGAGGACGAACGATGATTTGATGCCAGGGGAGGGGTTTAGGGGGGGAGCGGTTTAGCATTATATACACATGGGTCTGGGGAGAGAGAGAGAGAGAGAGAGAGAGAGAGAGAGAGAGAGATAACGGGCCGATTAATTTGGCCTGGCCCAAAAAAAGCCCAGGAAATTATGGGCCAGAATCGAGTCTAGTTACGTATAATGAACGGGTGTTTTTTGTTTTATATCCTTGCAAATTATTGATAACTCCTTCCATATATTTTATTTTATCTATACATCCCTACTTAAACAACTCAACATTTAATGCATCCACAGATTAGTTTATATTTCAAAATACTTATTTTTCTTCCAATTTCTGCTATCGGAATTTACTTCTTCACCTCAAAATTTCCCCTTTTTGTCAATTTATCCTACCGAATATATATTTAGTATGATGATTAATTTCATCTGAAATATTTCATAGCAACTTATGCTTACTCATCAAGATAAATTTATTCTCCAATTGGAAATTATTCCACGAAAAAACCCCCAAAAATCAAATAATTGTAAACCCAGGATATTATGATGATGTAAAGGGATATGATCCACCAAGCTCTTAACCTCACCCTCTTGTGCAAATCACCATTAATAAAGAGAAGCTCTAGGGTTAGGGTTTTCAAATCTTCTATGGACCCAAATGACTGCGTCAATGGTAGCATGGGGAAGGGAGAACATAACAAGTGGCGGGCCACCTCAAATGCAATAGATAGCTTGAATATTTTATTTAGGTCAACGCCTCAAGAATTCTCATATCAAAAACACAATATTTACTTAAATCCAAGCTGAGTTGGATTGAAATAGTTGACCGACATAATTTGAGATGCGTGAGGTTAAAAAATCTTATCTTTGAATCGACATGAAATGTGATTAATGTCAAGATTCTTCAACCCAAAAAATCCACATAATGTATTAAGGGATTTTTTTTTATAAAATTGATTGAATGACTTAGTGGGCTGCGATGTGGATCTTTAAATAAGCCAAAAATTAATAAGAACTCCCTTAAAAGATGAAATATTATATTATTTAAACAACCTAAAATTTAGAATTTGGCGCACTAGAATAAATTCAAAATAATTAAAAGTAAGAAACTAAAAAAAAGAAAATTAATTTTAGATGCATTTAAGATATGATTTATCACTTGGTAAATTTGAGATTAGGTCAACTTGTGTCTTCATACTTTATGGTTCATACTAGTTAAATCTTGTCAATTGAATTGTGCTTTTAGTGGGTTGCATTACTCCACTTGATCAAGAAATCAATATCTAATATATTTTAGACGCATATTAAGGTCTTTTTTTCATTATAGATCCCATTAATGTTGGGTCACTTGGGTCAAAAACCTTTCCATACTTTTTTCGGAAATTACTTGGTGGCCTACATCATCTCATCGACCCGGCACCAGCTCGGCGGAATCGGGTTCCCAGCTATGGCTATGAGGAGTAAGCACATGGAAGCCACTCGAGAAGAACCCTAGACTGGGCGAGGGCGAATCTGATGTCTCATCTGCACGATTCTTGGGGAGATTTTCTTCTGGGTCGAGATCAAATTCGACGTGGATTACAAACGTACGAAGAAGGGCTCTTCGGGCGGTGCGAGCGGAGAAACAAAACCGTAGATCGTAGAGCAGCCGGCGAGTCTCTCGAGGGGCTCTTCGACGGCGAGATCCGGCCTCCGCCGCAAGGATCCACGAAGCTGATGAATGGATCAGGGGAATGGGATCATCACCTGCCGCGAAGGACGGATTCGTCTCCGGCAGCGGCGCCCCCCCCCCCACACTGCCACCGTGGATCGACGGGGAGATTTGGAGGAAGATGCCACCCAGATTCCTGGGGAGGGTCGTGTGGCCCCTCCGCCTACAGCAGAATCGCATATGTGAGGGCGAAGCTTCGGAAAAGCGCCGCCAAACGCGACCACTCGTTCCACCTCCCCCCCCCACAGGCTTATGCTTCTGCGGAAAGCTGCCGGACGTGAGGTGTCGGGGAGAGGAGGTGCCATGATAACGTCACCCGTTGTGCCCCTCTTTCTCCCCCACGGCGCCCAGGGATCAATAAATCAGTAAAAATATATATATTTTAAATTTTAGTGACGATACGATGTTATAACTATGATAATGTTGATGATCATATAATTATTTATTTATTTATTTTTTAAATGATATTGGAGAGGCCCAACGTAGGGCTGCCTTTTGTTGGGGGAGGGGTAAGGTTATCAGATATTTTGTCAAAAATCTAAAGAAACGCCGACACGTGATTTTAGGTTCGATGGGGGGGGGGGGGGACCCACCATGGACATCGCCGGCCACGCGCGAGATAACTTGTCTCTCAGGTGATTATATCGCGATTTAATGATATTTTATCGCGCGATGACTGGAAGCTGTTTGGGGCCGGCGGGAACATGTGAAGTCGGGGGGCCTAAACCCGACACGTGTCGGTCAACTAAAAGCGACAATGTAGGTCAGCGCTGATGGCGGCTGGGGAGAGAGCGGCTCGAGAGAGAGCACGTAACCCGAGAGAGATATAATTTCGTCTTTTAAAATTGTTTATGGCTACTCGATGTGAGAAATGGGGAACGTGGCGGTTCAAGAGGCATTAACGGACGGCAGTGACGGGATTCGGCGGGGGGAGACGCCGGGGTGACGTGGACCCACGCTTGGGGGAATCTTGACCGTCGGTGGTTTTCTTCTCCGCTTCTCTCGTCTCTTCCCCGTCTTCTCCCGGTTCCTTCTCCTCCCCTTGTGCCTGCCTGGGTGCGGCCTTCTACCTCCCTCGATAATGGTCGACTGAGAACCCTAGTTTCTCTCCCGCCGCCTCGTGGGGAGCGACGCCTGCGAGGTGAACCCTGCTCGATCTCTCTCGTGCCCCCCCGGCCGTCGCCGTCCACCGTCGCCATGGGAGGGAGACCCACGTGCGGCGCCTCACCCGTAAGGCTTTTCTGATTTCTTTTTTCATGAATCCTCCCTCGCCACAGGAGCTTCTTTTCTTTGGTCTGGTATCCGCCGATTTCCCTGCGGGAGATGTTGCGTGCCGATGAATTCCCGATTTTCTTTCTCTGAGTTCTTCCCGTTTTTCGCATTCTCTGCAGAATCCTCGAGCTTCAGGTAGGGTCGTGGGGCTCCTGGTGTTCAGAAGCTACGATTTCTTGAAGTCGGCGAGGTTCAACTATGGTTTGGATGAGATACGGTGCTGAGGAGGAACTTGGAGACCAGCTCCCCGCTTTATTCGGGGGGTATGCCGCGAGATAGATAGGCGGGAAGCTATGCGCAGATTGCTTCGGATCTTGATCTGATTCCGACTGATAAGAGAGGGAAGGGAACTGGGTGGCGGCCATGGCGGCGGAAGATGGAGGTCTGAGGGCCGGTGCGTTCTCTTCAGGACTGGCCGTGCTCCTCTCTGGGGAGGAAGATCGGAAGGGCAGTCACCGCAGGTCCCATTTGATCTCCTGCTGCGACGACATCCGCTACCAGTCGGTGGAGCAGATGCTCGAACATGTGTTCGATCTGCCCTGCAAGTCCTTGGCTCCGTCGAAGCGATCCGTCGACGTCGATTTCGTCCGGTGGATCATAAACCAGAAGAGGCGGTGGGAGCACGGGGCCGCCGCCACCGCCGCCAGGGAGGGCGTGGTGGTGAGGGGCCAGGGCGCCTGCGCCGGCCTGGTCGTCCTGGACCAGAGCAGCGTCTGCGGGGAGCTGAGAGCTCCTCGGCAGGCTCTGCAAGTGGAGGGCTTCGGCATGTTCAGCAGCGCCCGCGCGAACGCCTGCGTCTCCAGGGGCCGCTGGATGTACGAAGTGGTGCTCGAGACCGCCGGCGTCCAGCAGCTCGGGTGGGCGACCCTCGCGTGCCCCTTCACCGACCGCAAGGGCGTGGGGGACGCCGACGACTCCTACGCCTTTGACGGGAGGAGGGTGAGGAAGTGGAACAGGGAGGCCAGGGCCTACGGCCAGCCGTGGGTCGTCGGCGACGTCATAGGCTGCTGCATCGACCTCGAAGCAGGGGAGATCTCCTTCTACAGGAACGGGGAGTCTCTCGGAGTGGCCTTCGACTGCGTCCGCCGTAGCGGCGGTGGCGGCGCCGGCGAGCTCAGCTACTACCCTGCCATCTCCCTGTCCGAAGGGGAGAGATGCGACCTCAACTTCGGGAACCGGCCATTCAAGTACCCCGTCGAGGGGTTTCTCCCCATCCAGCCGCCCCCCGCGCCGAGCTCCGCCGCGGCGTACTTGCTCCGGTGTCTGTCCCGGGTTCTCGAGTTGCAGAGCTTGGACAGATGCGATCCGGCCTCCTTTGAGAGATTGAGGCGGGTGAAGAGGAGGTTTCCACTGCTGGAGGAGCTCTTCCACCCCATCTCCCGCGGCATCTGCGAGGAGCTCTTCGCGGTGATCGAGGCGGACGGCGCCGGCGGCGTCGAGTACGTCGCGCAGGGGCCGCTGCTTTCGTTCCTGCTGGAGTGGTTCTCGGTGCGGCCGCCGCACGACCGCGTTGGCCTCCTGGACAGGGCGGTCGACCTGTTCCTCGAATTCCCGGGGTCCAATCCGCTCTTCCGCCATCTGATCCTGGCGCTCTCCTCGAGCTGCAGGACGGCATCGCTGGTCCTGCTGGAGTGCCCCTTCTCCGGCTCGTACCCCTACCTGGCTCTGGCGTGCCACATCCTCCGGCGAGAGGAGCTGATGGCCCTCTGGTGGAGCTCGCCGGAGTACGAGTTCGAGTACTCGCTGGAGGGCTTCCTCTCCAGGAAGGGCCCCAACAAGCACGACCTGCAGCGCCTCATCCCCTCCGTCTGGCGGCCCCCCGGCTCTTCCGAGGAGATGTACCTCGAGTCCAGCATGATGCTCACGACCACCGCCCTCTCTGGAGCCGTGAGCAAGGTCCGTCCGTCCTCCTCTTCACTGCCCATGTCGGAAATTCAGCAGCTTTCTTCCTCGTTAGATCACGTTTGACTTTTCCCCCCCCTTTTCTGATTCGTTTATCAATGAAGATCGAGGAGCTCCAGAGGGAGCTGTGCCGCATGGTCATGAAGTTCATACCGCCGGTGCCGCCCCTCCAGCCGCCAGGATCGGTGTTCAGGACGTTCTTGCAGAACTTCATGATGAAGATGAGGGGAGCCGACCAGAAGATGGCCTGGTCGGGGGCGTCGAACAACTCCGTCCTGGTCTCCCTGTACATGGTGATTCTCCATTTCTTGTCCGAAGGGTCCGCTCTGGAAGGCATCTGCGAGCGGGCGAAGGGATCTGGAGTGGCGGCGCCCGGAGGCTTCCTCCACCGGGGGGGGAGGCGCAGCTTCCCCGGCGGGCTCCTCTTCAAGGTCGACCCACATCGGACGAGCATTCCGAGGCTCGGTGGGTCCTTCTTCCATCTGATGAAGCTCCACCCGGTGAACCACGAAGAAACGGAGGAGATCACCTGGGACGAGGGCTGCATGGATTCGCAGGATGCAAAAGTGACGCACTCCACCAGGCAGAAACCCTGTTGCTGCTCTGGATTCGACGCCGCCGATCTGATGAAGATACTGAAGAACCCGGCCAGGTTCCCTGTGAAAGGCCACCGGGCCGCTGGTAGCCACATCCCCGAGAGGTCGGCGACCCATGTTGCCGCCGAGTGCAGCACGGGAGGATTGAACGACGAGATCGTGGACAAGCCCAGCACCAGCGGACAGTCAGAGTCGGCTTTTGTGTGCCGCCATTTACAGCGACTGGAGACCCTACCGAGCTCGAGCCACTCGTCGTCCTCCTCCGCTGCCGCCGTACTGAGGGAGGAGGAGCTCCTGGATGCTCTGCTCTTACTCTACCATCTGGGCGTTTCATCAAATTTCAAGCAGGTAACGTGAATCTTTCTCTTTCCCTCTCCTCTCCTCTACTCTGTTTTTGAGCTCTGGCAAAGACTCAAGATCCATGCTTGTTTCATGCAGGCATTCTACTACAAGTCTCATCAGACGTCGTTGAGCGCCATCCTCGACGACATTGACAGGCAGATCAGGGAGAAGCCCTCCGGAGAGCAGCAGAAGGGCTTGAAAGAAGCTCGGAATGTCTACCGCGAGGAACTGGTCGACTGCATAAGGCAGTGCGCGTGGTGAGTCTGTCTGGTGATTGTCGCAGCTGCTGCTGCTGGCGACTTTGCTCCGCAGCGTTCTTGCCCATTTTTCTGTCCCACTGTCGTCAACGCCATGGTTGTCACTTCGATTGCAGGTACCGCGCCTCCCTCTCTTCTCCGTGGAAGCAGCGGGGGACCTACGCCCTCTGCGTCTGGGTCGTGGAGTTGCTCGTCGTCCTCAGCAGAGACGACTCGCATTTCGCGTACGTCCCCGAGTTCTATCTCGAGACCGTGGTATGCTTTCCACCACTCTCTCTCTCTCTCTCTCTCCCTCTCCCTCCATCTTCTCTGTCCATTGATTTATCTTAACTGGGGGAAGATGCTTCACTGCTCGCAGGTTGACTGCGTGCTGTCGCTGTGCAGGAGCGACCCGCCGTTTGTCTCCCCTGCGATCTTAATCAAGCAAGGATTGTCTTCCTTTGTATGCCCCGCAAGCTCTCTCCCCTCCTCTCCCCCACCCAAATGCTGCGTTCTCTGTCTGATTCCAGAAATGGCATTGCTTTCTGTTCCTAGGTGACGCTGGTGGCGGCCCACTTTGACGACCCGAGGATTCTGAGCGCTGACCTCAAGGACCTCCTCCTCCAGTCCATCTCCTTCTTGGTCAGGCACAAGGACTACGTGGCCGCGTTCGAGAGGAACAAGGCCGCCGTCAAGAGGATGCCCAGGGCGCTGCTCGCGTCTTTTGACCACCGGTCATGGATCCTCGTCGCCAACGTGCTGAACCACCTCTGCGGCGGCTCGGGCTTTGGCCCCTCCAAGCATGGGGACTCCTCTTCCTCTCCCCTCTTCCAGGTTAGATAGAACCCACAACCCACCCGACCATCTCCATTTTCATCTCCATCTCCATCTCCATCTCCTTCATCTCCATCTCCATCTCCATCTCCATCTCCATCTCCGTTTCCATCTCCATCTCCATCTCCATCTCCATCTTCATCTTCATCTTCATCTTCATCTTCATCTTCATCTTCATCTTCATCTTCATCTTCATCTTCATCTTCATCTTCATCTTCATCTTCGTCTTCGTCTTCGTCTTCGTCCGTAGGCCCTGCTGCGGGAGGCTTGCGTCGGGGACGACCAACTCTTCTCCTCCTTCCTCAATCAGCTGTTCAACACTCTGAGCATGATGATGACGGAGTTCTCCATCCTCATTCGAGATATGCAGGACAAATATCAGGTATATAGATATAGACACTGATTCTGGATGATTTGTGGTGGATGGATGGCAGTAGCCTGGCCTGTTCTTGATCCGATCATGTTGCCTGAAATATCGATCGCCTGTTCTTGGCTGATCAAAACAAGTTTGTTCTTTTCTTTTTTTTGATTGCACAGCTGCGAGTTGACTTTTTTTTTTGTTCTTGTTGCTGTTCGATGAATTCTGCAGTCGTTGGACCCACAGCAGAGAAAATGCGGGATCATATTCGATCTCTCCTGTGGGCTCGCGAGGATTCTAGAGTTCTTCACCTTCGAGATCCCCCAGGCGTTCCTCCAGGGGCCCGACATGAACCTCCGCAGGTTGACCGAGCTGATCGTCTTCATCCTCAACCACGTCATCTCCGCCGCAGATTCCGAGTTCTTCGACATGTAAGTCAACCCCACCCGCTCGAGCTTCTGGTTGCGGTAGATCTTCCTCTGTTTTAGGGAGAGTCAACGTCGTCGTGATTCTGTTCTGAGGCTTTCTCTTTCTTTGCGCAGGTCGCTCAGGCGGCATGGGCATTACGCGGAGAAGATGAGCCGGACCATGATGCTGGGGCCTCTCATCGGGATCATCGTCAACCTCTTCGACGCCGGGGCGGAGCCGACGGCGGGGGAGAGGAACGATGTCGTCGGCGTGTTCGCTTCCATGGACTGCCCCGCCGTGCACTGCGGCTTGCAGTACCTCCTGGGATACAACTGGGTTAGGGTTTCGTCTCATCCTCCTCCATGGTTAGATAGGGTTGGTTCCTCCCCTCTGACGGCCGATTCTCCTCCTCCAGTGCGGCGTGCTGAGAGACGGTACTTGTCTCGCGAGGCTGGCGACGCTGGAGCGGTTCGCCGGCAGCCTCAAGAGCCGGGCGGAGGCAGAGGCGGCGGCGGAAGCGGTGGGGGAGGCCGGCGCCGACGGCGAGGAAGAGGGCGCCGGGGAGCGGTGCTGCATCTGTTACGCCGCGGAGGCAGACGCTCGGTTCGATCCCTGTTCCCACCGCTCCTGCTTCGGCTGCATCACCAGGCACCTCCTCAACGGGCAGCGCTGCTTCTTCTGCAATGCCACCGTCGTCGATGTGGTGAAGATCGACCGCGACTGAGCTTCACTGAGCTAAAGCTGTAGTCTGGGGAAGCTCCTCCCTCTCCCCCTCTCACTGGTTCTCCCCCTTGCTATATAAGGATGAAGAAGGTAAGCTATGGCCAATGGCGGCGGTGGCCATGGCCGACTGCTAGTCTACTCTGGAGAGATTTTTGTAGAACCCTGTGGGGGAAGCCCATTTGTACCCTGTAAATATGAGCTGTAAATGCAAAGGAAGATTTCTTCTCTCTCTCTCTCTCTCTCTCCTCTCTCTCTTTCTTGTTCTTTTGCAAGGTCCACAGAAGGGGGGAGGGGACGAAGTCAACGTCCCCTTATTTTTCTCCGGGCAGCGTTTAATCTTTTTAAGGCAAATTATTACGTGTTTCTAGTAAAAAAATGAGAATGTAATTTTTTTGGGACTTAATTGTAAAATTGAAAACCGTTAGAGAGTTATTCTAAATAAATAAATAACTTTATATCTAGGTTTATCAGTTAAGGGTCTGGGTGTTTTTCAAAAGAAAAGGATCCGGACCGAAGAAATGGAGAACGGTTGTCGGTTTGATGGGTTGGGTCGATGTACAATACTACTTTTTTGGGGCCTAAATAGTATATATTTTAAAAAAATAGATGAGTTATTTGAAATATGAATTTAACATGTCTCACAGTTTTCGAATGAAAAGGATCCGAACCGTAGTGTTGCCTGTTTCGTGGAGGAAGTATCAGGGTCGCGGAGGGGCGAAGGCCATGGCGACGGCTTGCCCTCCTCCGTCGCTGCCCGGCGGCGGCGGCGGCGCCACCAAGCGGGGAAGAAGGGAGCAGCATGTGGCGGCGGGCTATTTAAGGGAGAGGGATAGTGTGCTCTCCTGCGGAACCTGGCGCTCCCTTCGCTCCCTTCCGTGCCGTCCACCAGCGACCACCTGCTTCGTCTCTTCTTCCTTTTCCTCTTCTTCTTCGTCCGACAGCGGCGTCTCTCTCACGGCTTCCGTCGGCTCTCCTCCGCCGGCGCCCGCTCTGCAGTGGAGACTCGACGGCCGACACGTCCTCGTTCTTAACATCCTCGCCTGCGCCGTATGCGCCGACCTTTTACCCTATCTCCTTTCTTCCGTTTAATTTCGGCTCATACTTCCACGATTTTGTCCGAGTTATCGTGTCTGAATTTCTTCGTGGCGGAGTCCCATCCTGCTGGATTCATCTTCTCCGTCAAGAAACTGTCGACAGATCGGGGGAAATCTGTGTAGATTGTTTTAGTCGGATGTTTCTATAATGTAGCAGCATCAGCAGGGGCAGCGGCAGGAGCATCAGCTCAATCTAATCCTCACGCGTGCTAACCTCGCAGGCGGGGATCGCATCGTCATGGCTGCTCTTCTCCGCCATTCCGACCCTCCTGGTGGGCGAGTGATTACAGAGATCCGTCATCCTGTTCTTGCTTGCGTCAGTTCTCCTCATCTATCTATCTATCTATCTAACTTTCCCTTTTTGGATCTTCTCCTCCCTCAAGGCCTTCAAGAGAGCGGCGGAGTCCATCGAGAAGCTGCTGGACGCGACGAGGGAAGAGCTCCCCGATACGATGGCTGCGGTGAGGCTGTCTGGCATGGAGATCAGCGACCTGACCATGGAGCTCAGCGAACTGGGGCAAGCTCCCGAGCCTTCACTCCATTGGGCGACAGCTGCATTTCTGTGTTCTGATCGGACGTTCGCGTCTGCTGCGCAGGCAGGAGATCAGCCAAGGGGTCAGATCCTCCACCCGAGCTGTGCGGCAGGCCGAGGGCAGGCTACGCGGGCTCATGGCGGCGCCGCCGTCCACAGGTTACTCCTCCTGACCCCCCTCAAATCTCCGGCGGGGCCTCCCGATGGGATCTGACGGCGGGCTTTCACACCGTCTCTAGCTGCTGTGCAGAGGAATGAAGAGGCGGCGGCGCCGGCGATGGCAGCGGCAGCGAGGAACCTGAGGGAAGGGATCGTGAAAGGGCGCTCCGCCGTCGGCGTCATCCTCGCCCTGAGCCGGTTCTCGCAGTGGGCGCTCGGCTTCATCGCCGCTCGCCGGCAGAAGGACGGCATCCGCCGCTGAGAACTCCCCGATCGACGAAGATCTCCATTTATTCAAGTCATCTCGACTGAGTTCTACCAAACTTCTTCAACAAAATGGATCCGGCACTTCTACCAGTGAATCCCATTGATGGAGCAGGCATGATCCACGGGGATGAGCGAGGATCGGCCGCCGCCGATGGGGAAGGGGCGGCGGCGGCGGCGGCAGCGGCAGCTCAATTGGGCTTCTTTCGGCTGCTCTTTTCCTCGATCCCCGACTGGGCGAATCTCTCCCGAAGAGCCTCGAGCACCTCTTCCATCTTGACGCCCTTCACGGCCAGCAGCACCATGGCGTGGTACATGAGATCCCCCATCTCAGAGACAGTCCGCGAGCGATCTTCGTTGCCCAGAAGAGTCTGCACCAGCTCCTCGGCTTCTTCCCTGTGGAGAAGTGCAGCCAGGGCTTTTTAGGTTTACAGCCCATATATATGCTTTGATCACTATCTCACCTCTCTATCTAGAAGAAAAAGACTAAAATGGAAGCAGGGTTTACGCCGCGTTTTATAGAAAACGCTTCCATATGAATCAGCTGATAAAATCGCGGTGAACGAAAAGCTCATGAAACCATAGCTTCATGAGAAGCCCAGAAAAGGTAAATATCACACAAACTAAATGTCACACTTTTCCAAAAGAAGGTAAAAAGCAAATAATGGTAGAACCATTTAGGTAACCTAGTTTAAGCTCGAAATGATGAAGTAATTAGATTGCAAAGAGAAAGCAGAGGAAAGCAGCAGCGATCAGAAAAAGTAAGTAGCATTCATTAACACTACTTCGATTCGATTAAAAAAACCATCAGTTGGTAGTTTTCCCATTCGGTTTCCTGTCATTCACTGAAGAGGAAGGGGGAGGGAATTCATCAGGACTTCCCTGTTCACCGTTCCAGAGAGGAAGGGGATAATATGGCGAGCGTGAAACAGGTAGACTATGCCTTCTCACTTATGCAGAATGTAGTATCTAAGCGACATCTGGGAGGAGGCGCATGCTCCCTGTGGATACCTAAAGAACTGCCTTTTTTGTGTGGCCATGCGAAGAACAACCCTTGAGTGATATTCTCTCGATACTGTTCTAAGTTGTCGGGCGTTCTGATAAATTCAGCAATTATGGGTTTTCAAGAAAAAAAAAAAGAAAAAAAAAAGAAGTAAAAATGGTGATAACCGTACCGGACTTTGCTGCACAGGAGTTCATTGTCGAGTAACAGCCTCTTCGTCCAGGAAGGCTTCCCATCCGTGGCATTTCCTATCTCATCCCTGCGTCGATGAATGGTGTCCTCAAGGGAGTAAAGAGTAGTCAATGCCAACCCATGGTTGTGCGCCTGAAAGAAAGTCAACGTAAGCTCAACAGTGAATGGTGAAAAACCCATTTTTCCATTTACTCAAAATGGGTTGACTGACTAGGAAGCTTACAGACCTCCCCATTTCTCAAGATATCGGATGCCGATGAGAAATAGCATGTTTCTGACCCTGTGTGGCAGGTCGGCCCGTCAGGCTTCCCAAGGTATATGATCTGCGAGATACGAAGCCCAGAAAGAACCAAGAGATGAATGTGATGATGCTCCGTGAGCTAGAACGGGTAAGACTTTTTGATAAATTCGGCAAGAACATAAGAAAATTTCACGAGATGGGAGCTGTTAAGCTTCCAAAAATGAAGCAAGAATTGCGCTGAATTCCATGAGAAAGATTGGTGAGCTTCCGAAGAATTTAGATCCGAGAGAAGGGAACTCACAGAATCGCGATCACAGTCGAGGAAGATCTCGCACACGTTTATGAAGTTCATGGAGGTCTCCCCCTTTGTCCACAGGGACGACCTCGACCGGCTGTAAAACGTTGCCTTCCTTGACGTGATGGTCTTCGCCAGGGCCTCCCTGTTGACAAACCCTTGCATCAAGATTGCTCCAGTGTCCGAGTTCTGGGCAATGGCCACTGCCAACCCTTTCTCATCCCATTTAATGCTGTCTAGCAGAGCATCCACCTGAGCCGCACAGAAACAATGTTTAGGATCTGCTTGAACTGTAGAGAAGAAGTCAACGATTAACAGAGAGCCGTAACACAGAAGGTTATTCGGATTCACAGAGCTCAGAAATACCGCCAGAGGAAATTACTGATCTGTGCGGCCTCTTTTCTGTGAAGAGGATTTTATCACATACTGATTATTCTTTCAGAATTGGAGGAAACAGGCGATGTTTGGAGATTTATGAAGAAAAAGCTGTGAATGGAAGGATTCTTTCTGCACTCGGAAATGTGAATTCATGAGACGGAAGAGAAGCGTGTGTGTGTGTGTGTGTGTGAGAGAGAGAGAGAGAGAGAGAGAGAGAGAGAGAGAGAGAGACCTATCGCCTCCAATTTCAGGATAAAAAAATAAAGAATAGAAATCCACCATCGATAACATTTCGATTTGAGGAGCAACTGCTTTCTTCATTATCTCAATTCCCGAGTGAGCCTAGGGTTTGAAGAGCAGTACGCGCAACATTAAACCTCCAAGAGAACGACCTTCCGTCGAATTAACAGAGAGAGGATCACTCCCTCCCGTCGTACCTTCTCCTCGTCTAGCAGCAACGACGGCGAACGCTCAACCGCGGCGGAGGCAGCAATGGGGAAGCCAGCTTTCTTCCTCCGCCGATCTCCTCGCGCTGCGCCACCCAACCGACCGGGCCATCGAAGGCGCGCCGCCGCCAGAACGGCGTTGGGCCTGGGGGAAGATGGGCGCGGGATAGCATGAGAAAGAGAGGCCCTCGCTGCCGCCATGGCGATTGGGGGGGAGTAGAAGGAGAACTGGCAGGGAGGTCACTCCGACTGGAGACGACGGTCAAGTTCAAACCAGAAGAGAAATTTTGACTGCATGAAAAATCTTATGTGAATAAATAGTTATGAGAATTATGAGCTAAGACTTACCCTTGATTACACAATGACACATATATGTTGTCAATGAGGCATGTCTGTCTTTCTGTCTCTGTGTCCCTCACTCTCTCTCTGTCTCTCTCTCTCTGTCTCTCTGTCTCTCTCTCGCTGGTCAGTATAAAAACGAGACTCCCTCCACAGCCAAGCAGAGTAGTCCCGTTTCACAGGTCTCCTCAACCATGGCGAAGGTGGAGCAGACTCTGAAGCAGAGGATCTTCCGCTTCGTCAACTGCGGCACTTCCTGCGGAGGCGACGGGCCACGCGGTAACTCCCCCTGCACTTACAGAAGATCTCGAAACTTCGATCTTCGATATCGCTGGTCTGAGAATCGCTCGGTGCCTGCAGTTACAGGGAAATCGAGCGAGGAAGTAGCCCCCTCTCTCATGGAGGTGAAGGTGATGAGGAGCTTCCCCTGCAAAATCTCTCGCTCTTTCCGGCGTAGTCCGTCACGGTGTTGGTAAGATGTTTCTCGCTTATTTAGGGTTCTATTTTGCTGGCCAGGCCGTTGAAACGCGTGGATTCCGCGCGCGCCTTGCGAGGCGTCCAAAGCGGCCCGGCGTGCCGAAGGGCCCCCCTCCTCAGCATGCTTGAACATCCAGCGGATCGGAGATCTTCCTCCATTTCACTACTCTTGTTGTTCTTCTTCGTAATATCTTCTATGGATTATCTCAGAGTGTTGTGAGCCAGCCAATGTATAATCTAGACTGAGAATAAAAGGGAAGCAAACGACGACGGCTTCTCGCCAGATCCTCTGTTCTATTTACCTACAGTCCTGTCGTGGGAGTTCATGTTTCGTGATGATCCAGTCTGTCCAATCTCTGCAACCAATTTTTTTCTCTCGAATCATCGATCTCTTCTGGCTCTCCTCTGGCCAAATCCTGAATTCTGAATAAACTAAGTTCCTCCATGATCCGTCGTTAATCATTTGGCATTCATTCGATGTGAAGGACTCAACTAGTCAAAGATTCGCCTGACTGGGGGCTGGGGGCATCAACCAGTTGATTTATCACCAGATTTTCAACTCTTTTTGTGGATTTCTCTTCAATTCTGAGTGGCATTCAGAAGGTTTGTGATCAACTCATCCTCCATTTTCTCTTTCCTCTCTCTCTCTACCCTATCTCTCTCCTGTTTTGTCACCACGACTGATGGGGAAGAGAGAGAGAGAGAGGAACAGCTGTAAGATATTCCCCAAGGAAAGAAGGAAAGAAAGTGAACCAGTTGGGAAAAGCACAAATTCTTCCTTGCTCTGCATGCCACATCTTTTTCCCTCGGGCCGGGCCTATCTCGAATCTGTCCCGGGCCCGGTTATCTGGTGGATGCCTGTTCTGCCACGTGGAGTCCACTGCACTTATTTTCCTTTCCGGGCTTTTCTACGCCGGGCCTGAGTGGCCCCTCAGTAGTCGCAAGTTTCTTCGTAATTGGGCCGAAAGCGTCTGTTATTTTATTGGGCCAAGTGGTGCTGCTCAATAAGTCCAAAAAAGTCTCTTGGGCTCAACTAACCCTCTTCCGTCGAAGTTGTCGGCCCATTAGGGAACAGCCCGTAGTCTAGTATGGGGGCTGGCTCCGACAATCCGCTCGATCCGGGCCTCCAAAAATTGGTAAATGTTGATTTTTTTTGGAAATAAACCCCTCGCCCTTTCGGCAGTAGGGGTGGGGCCATAGCTATGGCTTCCGCCGCCATAGCGGAGGCGTCGGAGGTCGATGGGGAGGCGGGATGGCCGCCGGCGGCAGCGGCGGTGGCGGTGGAGAGTCTGCTCCCGCAGCTCCCCGACGACTTGGCCATCCAGTGCATCGCCAGAGTGCCACGCTTCTTCTACCCGCGGCTCGCCCTCGTGTCCCGCGCCTGGTGCGCCGTCATCCGCTCGCCGGATCTCTTCGCCTCTCGGGTATCCGCTGGCGCCTCCCGGTCCTTCCTCTTCGTCGACGTCAGAACCTCCTCGGAGGTGTCCAGGTGGTATCTCATCGATCTGCAAAGCGGCAACCCCCGTCCTCTCGTCCCCCTTCCTCCTCCCCCGATTCAAGCCGCCGGATCCGCCTGCGCCGCCCTGGGACCTCTCCTGTTCGTCCTCGGAGGCTCCGTCGAGGGCGTCGCCACCGCGGCCGTCCAGATCTTCGACGCGCGCTTCAATCAGTGGCACCTCGGCCCCCGCATGCGCGCCGCCCGCGAGTTCGCCGCCGCGGGGGCCGTCGGCGGCCGGATGTTCGTCGTCGGGGGCTGCCTCCCCTCCTGCGACCACTGGGCGGAGGTCCTCGAGGTCCAGGCCGGCCGCTGGGCCCCCGTGGCGAGCCCGATCGGCGTCCGGGAGAAGTGGATGCACGGCAGCGTGGTGCTCGAGGGGAAGCTCCTGGCGGTGGCGGATCGCGGCGGCCTGCTGTTCGATCCGGCGGCGGGGACGTGGGGCCCGGTTTCCACAGTCCTGGACATTGGGTGGAAGGGGCGCGCCGCAGTGGTGGACGGGATAATCTACTCCTACGATTTTTTGGGGAAGGTCAAAGGGTTTGATCCTGCGGGCGACAAGTGGAGGGAGGTGGAAGGACTGAACGAAGACCTGCCCAAGTTCCTCTCAGGGGCAACGCTGGCGGACCTCGGGGGCTTCCTCTGCGTGTTGTGGGAGGGGAAGAGGATGAACAGAAGGAAGGGCATGGAGATCATGTGCGCAGCGATCAAGGTGGACAAGGCGGACGCTGGGAGGCTGAGGGGGGAGATCGTTTGGATGGAGTCCATCAGCTTTGGGGTATCCAAGGGTTCCACCCTGTCACATTGCTTGCCCGTGGAAGTATGACGGAATTCTTCCAAGCTCACAGGTACTTTCTCTTATCCTGGAGAAATATCAACCATGCTCATCTTCTACTAGGAAGAAATTCACTAACATAGACGCTTATCTTCTTAAAAACATGGAGCCCAGAAAATTTCTTGTTTATTTTTGGCTAGGCTTTTAAATAAGCTCTGGATTTCTAAAAGGGGGGGGGGATATTCAATCATTCAATAAAGGGGATTGTGGACAACTTGTCCTCCTAATGCTTCCTTGTTATTGTTCATTAAGGTGTTAGCAGGATGATATCAGTGACGATTTTTCTTTCAACTGCATGTTTCTAATTGTTTATTGTTTTATGATAAAATTAATGTAATGTTGTATGATGTTTTACATTACCTGAGTTTGTTGGCTTTTTTTCTCGGAACTTTATATATTTTAAGGCTTGAATAATATTATGGTAGGGAGCATGGACCAGATGGATTGTTTGATTGACATAGACATTGTTTTTCTTGGACTCCAGGGCGTGTACACTTAATCTCATCTCATCTCATCTCATCTCATCTCATCTATCTGAAGAAGTCCCTTACAGTGATAATCACCGTGGAAATAAAACGGAATATTGGCTACACATCTAGACGACTAAGATTTCTTATCATAATTTTTCTAGTGTTTTCCTAGGGTTCTCAGGCTGTTTCCAAATTTAGTGAGAATCTGCACCCAATAAAATATTTTCCGTGAAGTCAACAGCGTTTTGACCATCATTTCAGTAGTCTTAGTAGCTAGTGGACCATGATGGGGACCCTTTTCAGCTTCAGATATTCCTCCACAAAAGTGGATTTTCTTGAGGGAAAATCTACTCCTAATTGGTGTGATATACGGATAAGTCGCTTCTCCAGAAGTGACTTTAGTATCGTTTGATTGTGTGCAGTAATGTGGCCATGAATGAAACAGATAGCCAAATAAGCAGGCCTCAAAGTCTCATTGGAGCACAATCTTGGCTTTCACATGGTGCAGATTCTTCAGTTCTCATGGAATGATATCATAAATGCCTCATTCATACGTAGGCTCTAAGAGTCTGCAGGAGCACTACAAGGCCAATGTTCGAGTTATATATACCCTACTTTTACATTCGCGTATGGTTACATAATCACCCTATCTAGTAACCGATTCAGATGCTTAGGCGCATTAATGTCTGTGTTTGCAGATATCATGGATGAAGTGTCTTCCTAGTTGACTCAAGGTTCTTCCCCTGGATATACCAGTAAGTATGTCAGTCACTTGCTCTGCTCTTCTCAGTAGGGATTACTATACACGCCCATTAGTTTTCCATCTGCCATGTGGGAATGCAAGACTGGAGCCCTAATTGGCAGCTGAGGGCTCTCTAAACTAGGCACATCTTACTAGCTGATGGATGATCAAGTGTGGAGATTTCTCCTTTTTCTTGAGAGCAATCTCTCTCCGGCTTGAAACAACATCTAGCTTGCGGCTTCTTCATTCCACTGGAAAGCTCTGTGCTTTGACTTGCATAAGTCTCCATTTTATTTGGCATAGACGATTGCAGTCTTTGATTGATTGAGGTCTGCATGCAGCTCGTCAAATGGCCTTGAATTGGGAGTCGGAAGCAGAGGATCAACGATGAAGATGGAATCCAGGCCTCCTATGGTGAAGGAATCCAGGCTCCTTGTGGCACAACATATCCATGGCAACTGTATATAAATTGGGCTGCAGAGTTAAACTACTCTGCTCCATCCTTGGCTTCGTTTCCATTTGTCTTTATCACTATGCACATATCAGTAAAGCATTCCTTTTTTTAATGCTTTCGGTTTGGTCTCATGCACATATCAGAAACATAGCAGTAACATAGCAGTTTCTATCTTTACTTGGAGCAGGTGACATCTTTCACCGGGTTCGCTGCATCTTTTCCACTGTCTAAGAATTAACTCATGAAGTGAAAACCTGATCTAATCAAACTTTAAATGGAAGAGCTCCAGACCGTTCTGGGTTGCTTTCAAACCTCCTCAACATAGCCGGCTATCGCCCCTCAGGTCTGGTTTATGGTTAGGGTCTCTAGGGTTCCCTAGTGTTCGCCCAATTCTGCAACCAAACCTTCTCAAATGTCCTGCTCTTCATCTAGATCCAGTCCCTCTAATGTCAAGAGATTCGAAGCCAAGTACATCCCCAAGCCAACTAAAAATCTAACTTTTGCATCTCTCTCTAGATGTAGACAGACACATGACACCCAGGAGAGCTTCAAGGAACATGAGGGGCATGGCTGACCAGATATCAATAATAATAATAATAATAATGTAGTCAAGAGGGTGGAATCTCCATACTCAGCGGATGAAACAGGCGCACTGTCACTGTGGGTCTCAAGCGAACAGCCTCCTGAGGGTTCTTGCGATGGCCCGAGAGGCGAACTTCGACAGCAAGTCGGCCGGCACACCCAGCAGCTGCTGTTGGCACTCCGAAGGGAGCTGCAAAGGCAGCCCAGCCCGATAGAATGTTAGAACGGTAGTCAATGGATGGCAGAGTCTCAAAGAAATCAGAGCAGAAACAGTGCATAGATTTAGACCAAAAGGGTTGGGGGTGGAGATCGCAGCCATCAAACTCCGATGATATGACGAAATGGGAGTGTAACCGTGTGCAAGGATGCCACACAAAATCAATCCCTGTTTTGATCTCCACAAAGTATATGCTAGTCTGGCTTCTGCGCTCTTACCTCCGAAATGATGGAAAGCACCGGTAAAAAATCCTGAATGGACGTCAGCCGGTTAAGGATTTGCAGAGGCTCCTCAGGGTCTGCTTTTTTTCTCTTCTCTTCCGGGTTGTCAAATTTCACATCCTGCAGACAAGAAGGGCTACTAAGATCCGAAGAGTCCGTAAATTCAGAGTTTATCAATGAGATCCCAAGATATGAGCTATATACCACCTCATTGTAGGTAATGAATGAGTAAGTGACTTTCACTAGGTTGGGTTTTTAGAAGAGCATGATCCATTTGCAGAAAAAAACTTAAACCAAATTCACATCAGCTGAAAATAGAGGGGGTGGGTCTTGATGAGCATACATTAACTAGCCTTTCGCGGATCGTCAATTCTCTCAATTTGATCAAGAATTTTCACCTAATTTCGGTAACTAAGATTTATTTTAATTATCAAATCTACAGGTGATAGTTGTAATTCCTTCATAGATTTCAGACGTGATAGAAGAAGGTGGGTCTTCTCCACAGATCCCTTCCGCATCTTGCCAAAGCCTTGAAGCACAAAATAAATGACCCAAAAGAAATAAAGGTAAGAATAAAACGACGCCAGAGATGAATATTTGTGAGGTGAATTACTATCTTATAACTAGGGAGGATCAGAACAATTGGGTAATGTTCTTTGACTAGCCGATAACAGTCTAATTCAAGCTGACTGAATAATTAGGTTTTAGCGAGGTCTACTTACTGCCGACAAACTTTCGTTCTTCTGAAGCCTCGACAGCAGTAGCAATAGTCTGCGCAAAGTTCTCAGGTTTTCGACATCCTCCTCGGCCATCAACGATGATGACAAAGGTGCAACAAATGGCAACCTTGAAGCTGCCGCGGTTGTGACAGAATCCACCGTAGCTACCCCAAGGGCATCAAGTCCCTGTGCGTGGGGGAGACAGCAAAAAAGTAGAAAATCAGAAGAGTTCTTAAATCTTTAGACAGTTAACGGATTTGGTCATGGAGAGGAGACACTTGTGGTATCCCTACAAAGAGTATGAACATCCTAAGACTAATTACGTCAATTAGGGAACCGGTTAAGGGCCAGTTAGATATTCTCATCTTACGATGGAAGGTTTTTTGATGAAAGCTCTGGAGGCCCGTGGCACATGGGTTTTGTATAAATGATACACATCATCAATCACTCCAAAAAGCAAATGGTTACCTTAACCATCTCTTCCAGAATTATTTCCCTCACAAAGGCACCCTGCAATGAAACATAAGTATTCGCTGCTTTGAGTTTTCAAAATACATAGAAATTCGTCTGGTTTTATGGATACCTTATCAGAAAGAGTGAAAGAAAATATCTGCTTTGCGGCCAGCCTGGAACCAGGCTCTTGTACTGCGTCTCTCACAAGTGTTTGTTCTGTCTTGGCACGAAGTGACTGGCACATCAAGACGAAAACAAAAAAAAACGTTGAATATTGTAACTTTCGATTACCGGTGACAGCCATGAGAACTACAACAGTGTGAAAAATCAAAACGGATGGCATTTATTTCTGAGAAAATTGCAGCTCTCAACAAATACCATTTTTTCAAGTCAAGAGAAAAAGTCCTCAGCCAAGTGGTTTTACACCTTAAATAATTTTGACTTACATGTCCTCTCTTCAGTGACCTCAACTTTACAAAATTTTACAAATTGCACCTCGCACAATAAATTTATACCCCTTAGGAAGCACCCATTAACTTTCTGGGTCCAAATTTTAGATTTTTTTAAAAATTAGACAGCTCCAATGAGTAGGATTTAAATTCTAGAGCCAGCCATACAAATCACGAAACTATATCCATGAAGAGGAAGTCATCCGAGCATTAAAACATCAAATTTTATAGACAGATAGTCACCAAAAAATTTAAATCCGAGGAACTTCATGTGCTTTCGCTATTTCTTGCCACCGAGATGATGGGAAAGAAAAAAACTTAGGATTTCGAGCCGAAAACCCTGTCAAATACGGGACAACGGACTGAATACTCTTCTGTGTGGAAACGTACGAGGAAAATGACCGAATTAAAAGTATATAAGTTATAGATGGTATAACTGGTTATGGTCTAATAATACGAGGATAATAATAATGGGATAGGAAGTGAAGCCTCTGTGTATCTTGTATTAGATGACCAAAAACGACGCAACACAAACCTCAGTGCGGGAATCTTACCTCAGTTAATAAGGATTCCAGACGATCAATCCTGAATGCTCCATTCTAAAGAGGAAATGTTTGTTTCAGTTTCAGAGAAATACCGTCTGTGAAAACTAGGACTTAAAAAACTACAGTAAATGAGGTCTGGCAGAATGGCTGAGAACTTACACTATACAGGAGTGTCTGCAGTGTCGAGCGAAGATTAGGTGAGCTATCAGTGAGTATTTTTCTCGCAATCCAAGGGTATGAACTACCCAAAACTTTGTATTCTGGATTGAAACCGATTGCAATGCCCTCCAAAACAGCAAGGCTGTTAAATCATAAGGCAGCAAATAAAACTAATGTCACTGCTGAAGGTGATAAGAATAACTTAAGGCTTATGAAATCCTGTTTCTAGAGGCTAACCATCCAAGTATGAAGATAATTGCATAGAGGAATAGGACATGAATTTTCCGACATTGGTATTTTTACGTTTCTTTCAACCAAGAAGCATTAAGCCTTCACTAATTAAATGGTTACCTTCTAATGACCAGAGAAAAATATGAGGGTATTTGAAATTTGAATTTGTACCTGAAAATCCAAGGGTAATGATAAGACTGAAATTAATTCCAAAAGGATTCCATTGGTAAACCAGAATTTAAACATGCAGCTTCTTTTAAACGTAGACGTTTTGAAAAAAAGAAAAGCGTAGACTTTCAGAGGCATATCCCAAAGAGAATCCCTCATCAAGAGGCTCAGACTATATATATCCTCAAGCATCAAATAGAAGACCATAGCGTTGCAGATTAACTGAGAATTTTCACAAATACAATACACAGACCCCAAATCCTACCATCTCTTCTAACCCCCATGACCCTGAGGGCCTGATAACTGAAGTCATGTTGCGAGGCAAAACGTATTTTCTAAATGTTATCGGCAATTGTGCCACAATAGGGTCTTTGACATTCTAGCTGTCCCACTGCCTAACTGTGACACATCCCTGGCGACCAAGGCTGGCACTAGTGGAGCAAGCAAAGCAAGCTCACGCTAACCACGGTGTGACACCCGCTGTCAGGCACTAACACGACTTTTAGGGTCTGACCCTCAAGTCTTGGGTGTCATAATTAGGAATAACAATCTCTTGTTCACTAATGAACAACTTTTGTAGGCACAAAAACCAGGAGAAATTTATCAGTATGGCAAGCAATTTTTTTTTGTACAGTACCAAGTCATGTCTAACAGCGCCAAAACAAAATGATAAATAAATTAACGCATAACAGAAATAGATTGAAAAAAATATCATCTATCATTCTATGTATCTCTCTCCAGAAAGATATGACCAAATATTTGATATTACTCTGAGAGGTGCTGTGTCACAATATTTTCTCGATTAATACATGTCTGTATATCTGGTGTATAAATTCTGCAAAGTTCACATCAACTGGGATAGTAGAAGATCATACAGATATCTGGTCATTGTTATATCTAATATTATAATTATTCTGCCCAGGCTATCTTTCCCACACTAGCACAAACTAGACTTGGATAACTATATTCATGATATGAAACAACAGAGTTGTAGTTCTGACATGAGTTTACGAATATTCATGCGTCAATTTTTCTATCTTTATCAGCCAACCGAGATGTGCACTTATCATTTTTCTAGTATACTATAAGTAATTTTTTATTGGATAGGGATCTCTGAAATATGATCCTGGCTTTGGAAGATTTGTGTGAAATATTATCTTTCACAAAACACAATCTTCTTAGAATGATAGTCGGTTTGGGTCAACATGACCCAATTTTTTTCCGTATCCATCGTTGTCATGTATGATTTTGTGACAAGAAAAGTGAAAGTATGCTTGGCCCATGTTGACTTAATTGTGACTTAGACGGACTTTGTTTTGACTCATATAAGTTTGTGAATGAAATCCCTGAAAAATAGATTCCCTTTCAAAACTTCAGTTGTGTCACTGTCCATTTAAACGTGCATTCGAAATTGGAAGCTTTAAGAACAGATCTGCCTCTTCTGAGTTACACTTACTCAGCAAACCATGCTTCACAATTAGTTGGACAGCTGAAATTTAAAGGTCACCATCAATATTTAGAGCTTTAGAACCTCATACGAGGAATAAGCTCTAAACCTGACATATATTTAAGAGAGGCAGGTAACATTCAGAGTGTTGAAAACTAAATGTCCAAATAAAAAATTCAGCAATTACGATTTTTGCATTAGTGACTTACATAGTCCGCCCAAGATTTCCTGACAGATCTCCAAAGCTTATGTTACTGACTCCTTTGTTAACAGCATTTTGGAAGACGCCTAAAAACAAATAACCAATGAATAAAAGATAACCCAGCTCCATCCCCTCAAGAGGAGAGAATCAAGTCTCTAATGAATTCTCGTTGAACGATCACCAAGATAGAAATACAACAACTGCGGCCTGGAAAAGTAATTGATCAACCTCAGGAGATTGAAAATCGATAAGAACCTGTCAATGCTTTCGTGACTTCATCTTTTTGCGCCGTTGGAGGAAGAAACCTGTCACGCATGAAATATGGTCCGAAAATTCAACTGTCAATAAAATAGGTAATACACATGTTTAAATGTGGGCCACACAATGTAATGCTCCTCAAAGGTGAGCCCAAGCACAAAGCTTAATCTTACAGTTTAAAGCTACTACAATGCTCCCCCATTTTAACGATAAATAAAATGTGGTCTATGTAAGTAAACCTACTCAACTTATCACCAAATGGTTGAATTGGTTGACTCAATAGTTGATACACAGATTGCTGCTCATTAACAATATACAACCCATTTCTATTTTCAGCACGACAAAACCCAAAAGTTCGGGACGTCATAATAGGCCCATATTGGAAAGAATAAATCAAAATTTGTGGTTATCTTTTATTTGGAAAGATGAACCTGGCCACTTATTGCCAAACTTTTTTATTTCGATTGATACTGATTTGTAAAAACAAAAACTACTGTTTTGGCTAAAAGTAGCATCCAGTGGATAATACCTCATACATGCTTTTATGATCGATTTCAAGTAATCAGTATTCAGATTTCCATGCAGTTTTATGAAGTGCTTACCCAAGCGTAACAAAATCCTTTGCCAGTTCATCAAAATCACGATTAACAAGATGAACACAAGCTTGAATAAAACCATCTCGAAGTTCTTGCTTAAATTCACCCATCATTCCGAAATCTGTAAAATTGGTCTGTCATTAAATTGAGATATAAACGGAAATGATGACAAAGAGAATATTTTCTACAACAATTAAAGTAGAACAACACGGAATAATATTTATCAGGTATAAAGATACCAGAACAGAAAAGGAAAGTAATGCTTGAATTTGTACAGAATGCAGTTGGCATTATTGAAACATTTTCTAGAACACAACCACTCAAATCTAGAACCAAGTGCTTCATCATACAGAAATATTTTTCTTTTGTCAGAGCAGAGCTAAGACAAGGTTATATATGTTTTCTTGGTCTCAAAGGGATACACAACTACATCTTTATGAGTTAATCATTAAGGTTAAGAAAAAGCCTACTGGTTGGTTGGTCTAAGTTTCTATTTCGTTTTACAATGCATAAACTAATCATCAAACTTGATATGCCATAGCATTTTACGCGCCTCATCAAATTTTCGAGAATTTTAATTCGTATTACTTCATCAAATGGAATAAAAAGAACAAAGTTTAATTTCAAGGTGTCCTTGTTCAAGGTAATGCATTACCAGGGACATCCTTTCTTCCCTTGTTGGGAAAAAGATTTACTTTCAAGGAAAATATATAATACATCTGAATAAAATAAATTAATGCGACAACAACACTGTCATCATAGGGAAAATAATCTTATAAATGAGGCATACTCTTTTACCAAAATAATGTTGAGACTATGCCTATTATGGTCAAAGTAAGCATTCTAAGTAATGAATTCATGAGTCATCATGTGTCAATACACCCCAAAAAAATGAGATGGCTGAGAGAAAAATTAGACACTTACTGAATACAGCTAGAGCTCTTTTGTTTCAACAAACAAGTTCTGAGGCCATGTTGAGGTGAAGTTGTTCTCTCTAGTACTTACCTTATCAACTTGATTCCAACTAAATCTTTGGAATATCAAAGCCCAATGGAATTGTTGAGTAGATTCTATCCTCATGTGAAATTAAAGACTCACCTTTGTCCAAGGGTATTAGGATGCACTGCTTATGTTCATGTCCAAGGCAACCTAGTGGGTAAACTTAATCCATGATCTATAAATTGTATATTTATTGGGTACTCAACTACACAGAAAGGTTATAAGTGTTATCATCCTGCTTCTAAGAAATCCTTCATCTCAGCTAGTGTAACCTTTAATGAGTTGGAATCATTTTATGGGTTGAGAAATCCACAGGAGACAAAGAACCAGATCACTAATGTTGAGTTACAAGATAACAATGAATGTGATTCAAGAATGCCAATTCCTAGAATCACATAAGGACACGTATATAGGAGATGATCCAGAGTGGAGTCACAAAATATACCAACAAAAATGAATGATTTACTTGCATTGCAAAGGGAACTAGTAGAGGAAACTAGTCCAAGTACAAGAGACGTATCCCAAATTGATAATATTGACTAAGGACATGATCACTAATTCACTAGAACCAATGATGAGAAGTAACTAGATTGACCCATTGCTCTATGCAAAGGGAAGAGAAGTTGTACAGGGAAACCATTCTACCCTATGGCCAACTACTTATCCTATGATAGGTTAACACAGTCAGAAAAGACTTTTCTCATGAACCTGAAGACAATTATTATCCCTGAAATAATAGAAAAAGCTCTGTCACACAAAAAATGGCTAAAGGCAATTCACAATCTTATGGAATTGATTATTTTGAGACGTTTGCTCTTGTTGCAAAGTTGAATGCCATCTGAATACTCATAACATTGATGGCAAATCTAGGATGGGAAATGCATCAATTTGGCATGAAAAATACATTTCTTCATGGAGATTTGGAGGAGGAGGTTTACATTTCTTAAAGTTACACATTTACTTGTCAAAATAATGTTGTTTGCATGTTGAAGAAATTTCTATATGATTTAAAACAATCGCCCCAACCATGGTTTGGGAGATTCACTCAAGCTATGAAGGGATTTGAGTACGTACAAAGTTATAGGGATCACACTCTCTTTATTAAGGACGGTGCCCCATACAAGGTTACAACCTAAATTGTGTATACAGATGATATTATTATAACAGTAGATGATACTGAGGAGATTAAATGCCTTGGCCAAAACCTATTTAGAGAATTTGATATCAAATCTCTACGAAGACTAAAATATTTATCGGGAATTGAGGTTCAATATTCAAAGGAAGGGATATTTCTTTCACAGCACAAATACATTTTGGATTTACTTCAATAGATTGGAAAATTGGAGTGTAAACATGCTAACACATAATTGATCCCAACCAGAGTTTGGGAGAATGTAAGGACTCCGGTCAGGTGGACAAAGGCTCATATAAGCAGTTGATTAGAAAGTTGATATATCTAAATCATACCCGTCCAAATATAACATTTGCAGTGAGTGTACTCAATCAACATACGAATGACTCAAGGAAGATAGACCTATAGGCAGCATATTGAGTGTTGGCATATTTAAAGACAATAATAGGACAAAGCATTCTATTCACAAAAGGAGGAAATACATCTATTAAAATCTACATATATGTAGATTATACAGGGGTTTATCATGGATCATAAATCAACCTTTGATTATTGTAGATTTGTTGGTGGAAACCTTGTGACCTAGAGGAACAAGAAGCAACAAGTAGTTGCACGATCTAGTGTCAAAGTAGAGTTCAGGGCATTGGCCCAAGGGATATGTGAAGGCTTATAGATTCAAGGTCTGCTGAATGAACTGAGAATCAACCAATCAAATCATATCAAACTATTTTGCAACAACAAGTCAGCAATGGCTATTGCCCAAAATATTGTACAACATGATAGGACTAAATAGATTGAGATTGATCGATATTTTATCAAAGAAAAAGTAGAAACTGGAGATGTTGATTTGATATATGTTAGTACATGAAAACAAGTTGCTGACATATTCACAAAAGGACTCACGAGACCAATATTTCAAAAGATGGTGTCTAAGTTGGGCATGGAAAACATTCATACCCAAGTTTAGAGGGGGTGTTGAACTTTCTTTGATTTCCCTTTCTATTTGTTTTTCTTTTGATTGCATTTTTTTCTTTCCCATTATTCCTCTTGTTAAATGGATCCATTAGATTATTAAGGGATTCACTTGTAGACTAATTTAATGAACCTGGCCCATAACTCGTGTAATCCGTATTTAAGAGGGAAATCGTGAGAATTCACGAATTAATTAGGTTGCAGTAACCCTACTCCAAGAAGTGGCGGCTGAGTTCATCTTCCTGGAAGAGAAGGATTTAAAGATCGATTCCTTCATTCTCCAAGTTGAACAAACCTCGATCAAGATCAATTTACAACATTATCCACATAAAATCATTTTCTACTAACCACCACGAAAATGATATTGATTTTATCATTCATCATATCAAAGGATAAAATACTAGTTTCACAGAGAAAACAACCAAGAGCACACTTGTAGAACACATAGTTCCCATCTATACAATCATATAACACATTTTTTGGTCATGAAAACAAACCAACAAACAAGCATAAACTTTGCATATGTTGCTGCTGAACTTCTAAAATATAACAAAAAAAAAACTTGTTTACTGTTTTTAAGAATAACAAAACATTATCATGACTTATAAACATTAAAAAATATGCACAGCTGCACAGATTTTAGATAACAAATTTACGATTTTGTAATTTTTTCTCTTTGGTTCAGCTGGGAAGGAGACGAATAATTCAAAAAGGATTGGAGAAAACCTCTTATAAAGAAAAAAAAGTAGGGAGTTATAATTTTTTAAATAAAATTTTAAAGTTTTCTCCAGATACAGAAAAAATGGTCATTTTACAATCTGAAAAAGAGTAGAAAACACAATTTTAAAGCAGTACCTAAATAGGCTAATTTTCCATCAGTTGTCCGAAGAAGATTTCCAGGGTGTGGATCTGCATGATAGAATCCATAGTCTAGAAGCTGAGAAAGTGAACAATAGACTCCAACCTGATAAACGCCAAAAATGGATATAACAGTCAAGAACCTGGAAAACACGACCTTATTTCTTGATTTCTACTTGTTATGGAGAAAATGAATCTCATATGCCTTAAAGACAAAATGGAAAGCAAGAAAGCAAGATAAATGCGAGCTGATATATTATTTGAAATTGAAAACTTAACCTCAACTAAATAAAGGTCTTTCACTTCAGATAGCTTCTGTCCCTGCAGAAACAGGACAAGCATGAGCGAGCACCTTACAGAGTGTAATACATTCTTCAGAAACAACATTTTTAGATTTGGGGTGTTTTTTCTCTAGAAGAAAAAGTTAAGATAAGAACATACTTCCACCCATTCCATGATAAGGACTCGGCGGCTACTTCTGTCCAAATACATTTCTGGTACGAAAACATCTTGTAGGCTCCCGTAGAGCTTCCTAGTGGGTTTACAATGAAATATTAAGGTAAACACTGACCCAAAATCATACTACAAATATGATATACACCGAAATAATATTTCCCAACAGATCAAAAAATACAAACCTCGAGGAAAAACATCAAATGGATACACAATGTTAGGAAAACAACACACACATGAAGCTCATCATATGATTTGTGATTTATGCTGTAACTACAGGTTTCTTAATGCAAGGCTATGATGACTACGTTCAGTTTCATGCTAATACCAAAAAGATTACCAAGCATCAATAATCACCACACGAAAAAACCATAAGCAAATATTAACAAAAAAATATTTCCGTGGAAAGGAGTTGAAAAGATTATAACAATGAAGTAAATCACGAAAACACCAGCTAAAACGTTAAAATTCTATCAGAAAAAACCACACGAACCCAAATCTGAAACTATGCCATACGAAATCCCATATCTAAAGCATCTGAAACCCCAAGGAACTCACAGTTGCATCTGAGAGGGGAGATTGAACCCAAGAGTGTCTAGATCAGAGTCAAATCAAAAAAATATTCAGTGAGAGATAACAATTGAATTCAACCACAAATGTCCAGATGAAAATTGAGTCTGTATCGTAAGAAAATAGATACATAGGACAAAAACTTCAATTTTTATTTTTTTTCTGGGTGAGAGAGTAGCAATTTTTTTCAATGGGATTTTCCCTATATGTTTCCATGAAAAACATGTAACTGGAGGAGCTCACGCACAAGGAATTCAAGTGTTAAATTCTGTTTGCTTGGAGGTGAATTTGCGCTTTAAAAATTATTCCCGAAACATACATAGATCATAGTAAAATCTACCATTTATTCATGGAAAGTTTTGTTCATATTTTCGTATGTGTACAACAAATGAGAAACATAAAAACTTATCAATCTAAAAGTGAAGGCGCTCATTCCACAAAGTCAAAATTGATTTGAGAGGGGAGCATAAACTACAGTATTGGTGAATACCTGAACCTGAGTCCATTTCTTCCTTCCTCCCTGTAATCCATCTCCTGCATTCAATGTGATTCACCTGTATTCAATGTGAAGCTCTAAGAATGAACCCAACATGTTGCAGAATGAAGTAATGATTGCACAATTAGAATATTAAACACAGAAAATTAAACAAATGTCGGTACAAGGAACCCACACCGAACATAATTGATGGTCATGTTCCATTCCAGAAATCAATATTAAAACAGTGATGTCAGGGGCAAATGTGGATCCATTGATGCTTGTAGACTGGGATAAATTAACCTTAAAACGATGACGTTACGAAAATTGGTATAAATGTCATTCATAAGATTCATCCCGTAAAACTGTGTCAGTTTGAAAGTGTTAGGCAGGAATAGTGACTGGCTATTGAACTTTCTTCATAGGTAGGTAGGTAGTGAGAATTTGAGGACCTTAAATAAATCAAAGATGTGAGAAGTCCTACTTCGAATGATTTAAAACATCATTTTGATAGAAAAAATCAGAGGGAATGGTGCTGACACCCTGGAAGAACTCGCCCATATCATAGCACTCATCTCACTCATGCATTGGGGCAGCAGAAGATAATCTAGTGGAGATTACTGGAAAAACGCCGGCTGGTTCTACTTCACAGGTGCAGAAAGGAATGCTGGTGCTGCAGAGTTGAACTAGACAAGATAGGGCCAAAGAAGAGAGGGAAACAAGGGGGAAATCGAAAGATAGAAGAAGCTGAAGACATAATCATAATACTGAGATATATCCCTAAAATCAACACCACTTTTAACACAGAACAAAAGACAACATGTTGCTTATAGAAACCTTCCCTTCAAAATAATTACATTTAGAATAATAAAGTGTACAATAATTTTTTTTCCCCAAGTAGCATCATTCCAAGTTCTTATAAAACAACATGCTTCAGAAAGAAAAATTATATTCAGTCGTTAAACAAACACCAAAGTATTGACTATGTGCAATGACTGAAACAAAGTGAAAAAAAAAAATCCTTTAGTGATAATACCACCATCGTCATTCACAAAATCATAACTGATTAGGGTTGAGAGACTATTTAATCAGTGATTCAACACTAGTAAATGCCTCCATCCAAGTTTTCCTTTCCTTTTTTCTCCGTCCAGACTAAGAATTTATGGCCATATTTCACAACAGACAGTATCCATCAAATTTCTTTTCTTTCCTGATTTTTTTATGTTTCGACTCCATGTCAAATGACTTTTATAGATTCCATCCACTACTGTTGCTAGTCCTATGACCTACCGTCACTAGGGTAACAGTAATTTGAAATGCTATCACATATTGTATCTCTGCAGATCCATAGATGTTTCAACCTCTGTCATAGTGTCATTATAGTTCTTCTTAACAGTTTAACTCTCTGTGCTCTAAAACATAGCTGCCCTAATTGCAGCGTTTTGTTACTTCACTTCAGTCTAGGAGTACATTAATCACAAATTATTCTAATCATTTCAATTTATCTTGAGAAATTGCAATGTATATCATAGCACCAATTAGCATACCTAAATCTTTTTCCAGCTCTTGGCTGTCAAGTAGGAAGAAGGTCGCCATTTCTCCTTTTCTTGCTACTAAAATTACCAATAAATATTTGATGATGTTCAAATATTTAGCTTCTAACAGATTCTTTGATACTCTTGAGTTAGTTCCTCATTCATCCTTAATCATTTCTACTGGTGTCGCACCATTTACAAATTACATATACCAATGACAGTTTACCTTGAGACTATGCAATCAAAATTACAGAAGATGAGACAGACATCTTGCACTGCCAATGAATGTACAGTTACCAACATATATAAGGATATCCGTCAAAGTGGTGGACATAGCTTGCAAGGAGATAATTTAACATTAGAGAATCATTGCCATTTCTTGCAAATACAGTATGGTCGGATTGTCAACTGTACTTGATATAAAATTGTACAGAAATTGATTATAGGGCTCCAAGTTTAAGCAACTTTGGCTCAAGATCTGCTGATTACAGAACCTAACACACCAGTTTACCCAGTAAGGGAGCTACGATGCTAAAATTCCACAAATTAATTTCCTCCAAATCCCATTTAAAAATTCATATATATATGTATAATATAGTCGGAAGAAATTGGCTGATGTATTGACTTAAACGAAAACATCACAGTATTTCAAGCCCTTTAATATGGTGATCACATCAGATGTATTATTAGTTAACTGGAAAAACATAAACGTCAAAAGGCAGCTACTGCAACAAGAAAGATCACAATTTTCTGGCTAGTTTTCTAGACGATCACAATTCTTCCACAAAAATCACATTCAGCATAATGCATCAGTACGCGTACATGCAAAAAATAAAGGTTTATTAAACTTTAACAAAGTATCTAAGTGCAGATGCACAGATGATACTTCATGACACAATGATACAGAAAAAAGCAAATCTCAAAAAAGTAGTTATTTCTTTCATGACATGATGATACAAAAATAAAAGCAATTTTCAACAAAGTAGGTATTTCGTCCTTTTTATGAAAAAAAAGAAACATCACATCTAGATGACCAACAATACAAAATTCTGGAAAGTCCAAATTCACAAGTAAACAAAGAGAAGAGTTACGTACCCGAAAAAGGCTAGATGCCCATTCATCAACAACAGCCTGCAAGTCAACGTCCTTGATTATTTAAATATTATTTACATTGCATTCAATTGAATACCAAACGGAAACTTATTCCAGATGGACTAAAAAATTGTAAGTTCACCAACCTAGTTTGCTATTCAACACTAATCAACCATATATACAATTACCGGAAGATTGGTATTCAATTTGGCAGCTTTCTTAAGTAGCCCAGCAAGAAATCTTAGGATGAAGATATCTAACGAAATGGCAGCCTGAACTCCAGGTCTCTGTACTTTGACGGCAACAAGTTTCCCACTAGGTATAATCCTGGCTTGATAAACCTAAAGGGAAGCATAACCTTTGATACCTTAAAACAGAATGATGAACAGAAAACGAAAAATTGTTAAACCTCAGATTCGTAGTAAACTACAAACCTGACCAAGAGATGCGGCAGCAACAGGCTCTGGTGAAATCTCAGAGAAGAGCATATCTATTGGGACCCCAAGTTCTTCTTCTATCATATCGAAAGCAACTTCAGTCGAAAATGGTGCTATCCGGTCTTGCAAAAGAGATAGCTCTTCCAGATATGTTGGTGGGATAATATCCTATAAAGGGGAGCCTCTATAAGCAGGTATGCTCCCAATTGTGTAAAATTCTATCCAAGAGCACCAGCATTAAATCTTATGGAATGCATAATATAGAGTGTTCTATAAATATGAACGTTCTAGTATAAAAGCTGTGACAACTGCCATTTAAGGGATTTGAAAATTGAGGATTCATCTAGCAGAAAGTGCATCCACGGCAGATTTTCAAAACTGGATGACTAATGCAGGTTTTAGAAGAAGCATATGTAACAAATTAAAATGAAGTGCACCAAACGTTCAATTGAGTTTGTCACTACCAAAACAAATGTAATTGTAACTGACGAAAAAGAAAATAACTGAAATAATCAAGAATCAAACATGTTCCCATAAAAAGACTCCTTTAAATGATGCTTTCTTCAAAGGGATTATGGGATCAAATATGTAGATTCATTTCAATCATTTTCGTAGGATTGATGACAATTCTTATCTATAGCCTGAACCAAAAAAAACGTAAAATTAGAAACAAATTCAACTGCCCATAGTAAATCAGAATAGCTAGGAGGAAAAGGCACATGGAAGCACTACATAAATGCACAAGTTATAGTCTGAAATGAGAATAACAAATTGTCTTTCTACACTAGGTGACCGGAGGTCTGTCTTAGGATGATTCATTTCTACAAGAATCTAAATGTTAGTAATTGCTCCAGACTAAGACCATAAAATTACAAGACCATATGAAACAATAGCAGGTATAGCATACGCTGAAACATAGGGATGGCAAGAGTTTTAAAACAGAAATTCCATAAATAGAAAGGAGAAGAGGAGAACCGAATCTGCACAATTTTTAATATATGGGAACATAGAGAAACCAGTAGACATACTTGTTTTTCTCTGTAAGGACATTTAATATCGACAAGAATATACATGATATTCCAAGTTAAGTTTTGCAATGATTATTCCACTTTACTATTATGACAGTAGGTACCACAAATGCATTAAGTATCGTAGAGTTCTCAATAAATAAAACCTGCTATACAGCTTTTACATGATACGTGCCAACACTGTACATAACATATTAAGATTTTAGTCCCTTCAAAATCAAGGGATAAAATATTTTCTTATAACAAAAACTTACAGCTCAATCTCCCATTTTGGAGCATATAAAAATGATGACCCTTTCTTCAAAAAACTTATAGCACGTAAGCATCTGTAAGTCTCTACTGAACTCAACAAGTTGATTTTAATGATATCAAAGTCTGCAATTTAGTGCTTATGTGGTGATGTAGCCTAAGCTGCGTGGATATGAAATCTCATCTTTGAATGAACAATAGGGTCCTCTTGAATCCACAAGCGGACTAAAGATGAAGAGGGACCTTTAAATAGGCAAAACAATGTGTTAAACTTTCCCTAAAAAGGTAGTTGTATTATTATGACACCTTAATTTTGAATTTCAGTCCATTAAACTAATTTGAATTGGATAAAAGCGGGAAACGAAATTAAAAGTAGGAAAAATAAATTTGGATGTATTTAAGATGTTATTACGGGCCATATTTTTTATTGAGCCAACTTGAGCCAGAGTTGAGCCAACGTGTGTCTTCATGCTTTCTAGGCCTCTAGCCCACTTGAGTTGGGCTGTAGATGGTTTGCACCATTTGGGTTAAATTTTTGCATAGGATTTTAAGCAAGGAAATGAAGCTTTTTTCAATAAAAAATTCCATAGAAAATAAAGCTAATAAGATAGGCAATAATCTCCTAAAGTTAGAGGAGCAGATATGCAGAAATAAGTTGTTTTATTTGTAGAAATTTGAATTGGAATGCTAGTGTTAACCAATGAATTGAAAAGATCAATACCCGTACATCTTGGCCCACTAGACCAAAGTGCTGACCCAAAGGAAAAAAAAGTCAAAATACATGTGTTAACCAATATAGCTTGTGTTGACATTGGAAAATCAGTGATGACACGAGCTCAGAATCATCAATCTTTTGTAGAGAGAAGGAAAGAAATAAGTTCTGACTTCTTGATAAAGCACACCAAATGTGGATTCTAGAGCACAGATGATAGAAACTAGAGATTAGCTATAGTAAAAAGGTAGAATCACAACAAATGTACCCCAAGGGTAAACCCTAAGCACTTGAGTTCGAGAGGGCTAACTTTCTCCTACAATCCTGGCACCTAAAACAAAAAAATTGTTCTTCACCCTCCTCTTCTCGTCTCCAGGCCTGAGAACCACCTTCTTCTATCCTAATCATTTATTAAATTACCCTAAACTTAACCCTCACATGACACCCCTCAAACCTCTCACTCCTCTTGGAGTAAGTTACATTTATTGGGGGCCTTACATCACTCTCCCTTCTGACATCCACCTTGTCTTCAAGGTGAATTCAGGCTAGTTTTGTTGTACTGTAGTCCTAGAGTCCCAAGTGGCTTCGAAGATTGTTAGGTTGCTTCCAAGCTATCCATTTGTAGTGATTTTGTACCCACTCTTTGGCTACTTTTAGTGATGAAGCACCAGGGCTGAATCAAGAGATGTTGAAGCACATCTATTCCAACACCCTCATAGTCAAATGCTATCTTGAATTCATAGATTGCTGCTTTGTCTAGATTTATATGCTTGACCTTTAACTTTTGGCAACATCCTTTGGTGGATGATGGGGGTTGACTTGTATTCATCAAGGAAATATTTCATGCAAAAGAATAGATAAGTTAGAACAACCCAGACTTTTGTACAGAAAAATGGACCTCGTTCTCCTTTGCCTTCTCTTCTCACCAAAGAAATGCACCTGATTTGGAATACTAGCACTTCTTTATTCGAGATGTTAACCAAAGGTGACCATAGTGGCCGTCATTCCAGTCCCATTCTCAAATTTTCAACTCTTAAAGTTTCATGAATCCTTGGCATATTTTGCATGTGGAACATTTTACCATCAAACTTATAGATCCTCTCAAAACTGAAATCATCATTGTTAAATTTGTTTCCTTGGGCAAACTCAGCCTTCAGAGCAGCAAAGGTCAATGATGACTCCTGAATGGGTATTTAAAATATGTTTCTCCTACTTTCTAAATCATTATTGATGAAATGAAAATTTTCCTTGTTCTATGATATATCATGTAAAGTATTGTTTGTAACTGATGGTATTAAATAGCTAGTACTACTCTCATTCTGTAATATTTCCATATTGTGGTCATCAAGAAGGCTCCTTGCTCGTCTTAATGCATCATCAGAAATGGGTGGAGATCTTCCATCAGCATTATGAAACATGTTGGAGATGTGATACTTTCCAAGCCCACCGCCCTTTAAACCAAGCCTCTCCACCCCAATTTGGAACATTGGAGCACTAATTTCGTTTTCTCCCGCTTTTGTAAATGGTATTCTTCACCCAAAGTCTTCCCTTACATCCTTGTGCTCGTTTCACTGTCCTCCATGTGTTTCATCCCTCTTGTTTCCAATCCTCTTGCACTTTGGACATATTCACTACTGCCTTTCCAGCGTCCATAGGATTTGAGTCATAAATCAAAGTAAATCTTCTATGGATTTCTTGATTTTGATAGAAATTTTAACTCCACCTTAAGCTCGAGCCTCTGCAGCCCTATATTTATCTCTTCCATCTCCTTCTCCAAGTGCTCAAACCTTGCCTCATTGGTCTTTGACACCATCAAAATCTAACTTTGATATCAATTGAGAAGATTTTGGACCACACAAGATAGAAAATAGAGATTTACTGCAGTAAAAAGGTAGAATCACACCAAATGTTCCCCAAGGGCAAACCGTAGAGCACTTGAGTTCATGTTAGCTATTCAACAGGGCTAGCTTTCTCCTATGATGCCATCACCTGAAACAAAACAATTGTTCTCCCCCCTCACCTCTTGTCTCTAGCCCTAATAGCCTCCCTTCTTCCATCCTGGACATGTACTAAATTCCCCCCAACTCAATCCCCAAGAGACACTCCCCAGCCTCTTACTTATCTTGGAGTAAGTAACATTTATTGGGGGCATAACAGTCAAAACCCGATTGCTTTAGTTACAGAGACACCATATTTTTAGAGCTTGATAAAAAGCTTTAATAGCCTAATAGCCTTTTTTTCTCAAAATAAAAAAGCTGAACAAGCTTTAAATTGAGTGGTTTTCTACCGGTTAGAGAAACTTTTTACAATGTAGAAGCATTCTATTCCATAATAAATCATGTATTTTGTTTAATTTTTAAGAATACTGAAAATAAGAATCTCATACATGCCTCTAAGCGCCTTGCCTTGTCAAGTGTACGGGAATGGATTATCACCTAAAATTGCCTAGTGCCCACCTGCCCACTTACATTGTGAGTGGCATACTGATTCTTCTAATAAGAGTGCCTTTCCTCTCACATCTGTTGTCACTATTCAATAACCTCTCCCTTCTTTCTTGTTCATCATCTTCTTTACAAATTTAATGCTCCTAGCTACACGAAGTTCTCATTATCATACAGGTTTCCTGAAGAGATGAGTCAACCCCAAAGACTGAACACCCCAAACTCGGCAGCTCGCTGCCTTTTATGTTACCCACCTTTTTTTTTCAATATGTTTGAAAAGTCCTCTACTTTTCATGCTCTATGAGACATTTATTTCTACCTATGTTTCAATTTTTACACAAACATGAAACGATCACAGTGCACATCCTGATTTCACCTATGTAATTAAGCATTTAGTAGATCTCCAAAAGCCTGAACCAATCATAGACTTCTAAGACCTACTTATTGCGAACAATACTAACCAACAGTTTTCCCTCTATTTTAATATCTATATAGTGAGCAGTCAAATACAAGATTACCAGAAAGAATATACAATGAAAGCTGATATAAATTAGGTATTTATTCGCAGGTTTACAAGAAAACATCAACATCTTGTTAGACAATCTTTAGCTTTCTAAGCCGCTAGCAATCAAAATAATGGGCGAACACATAATGGATATAAAGTTACCGGTCGAGAAGAGACAGCTTGAGCAACTTTAATAAATGCCTGTCAGAAAAGAAAATAAATAATATCAATAATTGTCTAAAAAGTAATACAAGTATTAACTAAGTACCCTCATAGCTATGAGCATTGAGCCCCTTTAACTAAACATATATGTAAACCTATCTTTCTTTATAAATTGTAAGATGATCCAGGATGAGCAGATTTCCTAATCCTGCATTGAAAGAACAAAGGAAACCAATATCGACAACCTTTCTGTAACCTACAAAACAAACTATTAGATAGAAGCAATACCCACGTATGCCTACTCCCCAACAAAGACAGCTTAGCATTAAAACCAAGAAAGTAAAGTTACTGATCAATTCCAGTATATTAATATATCATTTAACGACGTTTTAGGAGACATCCTAGACGACAGACAGACTCAATGAAGGTTACAATGTCAACATCAAAAACTAAAAAAAAAAAAAAACAGATATTTTCTCAACAGCAACTGACTGTTAATGAGAATTCTAAACTTTGCACAGTCATATGAACAGCATCAATGATTCGAAAACAGAGAATAATCGTTAATGGTGTTTGACAGGATCGAGAAGTGGATTTAGTCAAATGCAAAACTCTCGCAGAAACATACCGGACCAAGCTTCGATAATATCATGCGAAGCTCTGCTGCTCTAATCTGCATGCAAACCAAGGAAACTCTTAAAATTATATTCAGCTAAACCATAAAATATATTTTAAGAAAAAACATCAAAAGGAATTTAGGCTCTTGGAGAATGATGTGAACAAGGCAGTTCCCTACAAAGATCAAGAGCAGTTGTTGATTTTTATAACTTGTAACAAGAAAAAAATTTAACCAATACGACTTAGAGAACATCAGATTGTATTAAAGCTCAATCTAGTTGCATCAGGGAAACAGTTGCAACCAGAAATTATAATTTGATTGTCGTTTTAGTAGCATAAAGGAGACTAAAACGCAAAGATTAGGGATGATTTGAAAATGCATGACTGTCATCATTTAAGATGGCCGCATTCATTTGAATTTTATCACCTCATTTCTCAGTTGGTTGTATTTAGATTAAGACGTAGAAATGATAACCATAGATGAAATTTGAAGGGTGAGTTACAACGTAGCCATCAGAATCATCATAGAACACTGGCTTGGCCAAGTGAAGTATCTAGCTCTATGTGGACTTTTGTTCTTCATGAAGATTCTTTGTAGTGTCTTCAATAGAGAGATCAAGACACCAAAGCTTACACATTAACATCATCAACTTACACAAGCTGGCTTCATGACGATCCTTTGTACCATTTGAGGCAATAGTTCTCAAATTTTTTTCGATCAAGAACAATCCAGCAGAAAGGCAGCTATCAAGCTCTCCAACAAAACTGAATATTATGCAAAAGCTATAACACTTTCCTACAATGCCCTAATATGTTCCTGGTAGCCTCATGATGAAAATTATCCCTTGTGATTTCGTGTTCATCAACTCCATGTTAGCTGCCTTAATAATCCGAACGTTATGACATGATCACATATTGTGGATCTCTAGGATGCTAGTGTTCTTGTTTCCCCCTTGGTGACAGTTTCGAAAAAGGAAAATGGTCTTCTTCAGAACATCAAGGTAGTGCAATGAATTTGTCGGGCTCCTATCAAATATCATGGATCCATTGGAAATAATTTATTTTCATGACCCCCAATCATACATTATGGATCACCTTTAAGTACTCTACATAACTACAGCTGAGTGCTGGACACTTTTTGATTCAAAGAAACCTAATTGTCTAGAAAATTCGTTCTCGGATCCCACTTATGCTTTAGCATCTTCCAAAAGTGATAGAAAGCCACGCCAAGTATGAAATACGTCTTCACGGGACATACACAGAAAGTTAAGGGTCTTCTGACCTCTAACCAACTATGGTGAGCAACATTGATTACGCAACACTTAAAACATCCTCTCTTAGAGACGGAAGTTAGTGATGAACTTCAGATGTCAATAACCTAGACAAACAGCGCAACCAGATGAAATGTAGCATTGAACGAGTGCAGGTTTCGCAAAACTGAGCTTAGCGCACTTTCAGTAATGATTGGTTACGGCCTATGCAATTTAATAGAATTAATAATCCGTGCATTCCTAACACTGCACTAAATTCAATGAATGGGAGTGCCAAGATGTAAACTATAATAATGCCCTGGAAAGATTGATCAAGGCCATGACAAGAACCCCCTCACCTTGAACATTTCGTCGGATCGTTCCATGAGACCATCAAGGTACCTGACCGCGAACCACTTCCCGAACGTGGTCCCGATCTGCACAAGCCTCCGGAGTACCACGAGCGGCTTCCGCCTGTAGATCGAAGCGATTGCCTCCAGGTCATACTTCTCCAGCAGGTCCGCCTCGGACGCGCCGCCCTCGAAGAGGTAACCCGAGTACTCCGTGAAGGCGTCCACTTCCTCTCCAGCGAAAGAAACCACCGCCACCCGCCGGCGCCGGCGCCAGGGATGCGGAGGACGCACATTCCAGTGAACCGGTCGCCAACGGAGGTTTCGCGACGAGAGACAGGGGGTAGGTTTGAATGTGGCGGGAAGCGCGGAAGCCCTGGAGGGGAGGAGCTGGAGGGACATCAGAGCACCGAAGAGCCACCGATCTCGTCAGAGAAGTTGGCCAACCTCTGCAAAACTCTGGGGATCGAATGGCCTTTTCGGATATATTTCCGACGCTCTCTCACCTCCAATTTTCATGGTGTACGGTTGCGCACGTGCGGCTCTCCCGACGTGGCGACGGACTACTGAACGCAGGAGGTACACGTGGACAGTTGGTCGACGTGTGGACGATAAAATGAGCATCTTTTCTCGAACACGTATGATTATCCAGAGGATACTTCTCTCACAAGGCTCCGACTCAGCAGTGGCCCACAACAAGGCCAAGAAAGAGACCTCAATTGGGAGTTGATCATGAAGCCCAAACAAAGCGTTTATAACAACATTTTTTACTAATACAAGGTGATATGGATCGCTTAACCCAAGATCAGTAGTAAAATGGCGTCTCACAATTACTGTACACATCATATAAGATTAAGCAAACAGAACAATTAACAATAGCAAGCACGGTGCTAAGTCTCACAATGCTACTTAAATATTTGTGCCCACCAAACATTGGAAAACTTAAATTGTAAAGACACCCAAAAATTGTATCTAAAGTAGTGAATAGAAATCATAATCTAGAAATAGCTGCTACATGTAAATAATACACAAACAAAAAATAACTATACATTGAAATAGAATGTTAATTGAGTGCCACACAACATTTATGGCTCAAAGGAACACTGAGATTTAGTGAATGTTAAATTGTTAACTGACAATGACTCTCTACTTCCTTCAACCTTCTCTTGAAACCTCAATGTCACTTTTACTCATCGATCAAAACCCTAATACTCTTTTTCCTTTTGTGAAAGAAAAGACTTAGCTGCCTCTCTCATTGAGTCTTTACTACATATTCTCTCAAGGATGTTTTTTGGTCCCGTCAAGATGTGGTTGTTGGGCCCTTTGGTCTCCTTTCCCTATCTAAAGCACATTACACCTATTAAAGGCTTATCATTACTCCCGTATGCAATAAATCTCTCATTTTTTTCTTTTAGTGAATTGTCATCACAAGGCCTTTATGAACTCCTAAGTGACTTTAATTTCAAGTTGTTCATTTCACTAGATCAATACTTTTGGGCATTTACTAGTGTGACAATGCTCTTGTTTAGTTGTGAATATGAAAAACAAGATGAATGTGTGTTGTGCAGGGAAATTATAATCAGTGAATAATAAGACTAATTTTTTCCATGACTTGATAAGCTCTAAAGAAGCATGGAATGAGCATCTCATTCAGCCAATAAGTGAGGATTTCTAATAAGGTTAGAGTTTGAAATAAATTAACTCTCCAACTTCATGACATATTTTATGATATTTTTCATTCACTTGAGTCTTCTCCTTCTTTGTACTAGAAGGAATATTTGTGTAGATTTTGTTCCACTTAAAATGCACCAAACATTCAGGTGTTAACCACCATAGATTATTTTGAAAGGGATGAATTTGGTAAAAGAATGATATATTGTATTAAACCAATAAACACCCCAAAAAACTACTTGCTTTACCTCCAAAGTTAGTTCTTTGAAAAACAATGTAAATGAGTAATGATTCACCATATTTGCTTATTGTGGGTGATATGCTATATTGTGGTGAAGTTTAATACCTTACAATCTAAAAGGCTCCAACTAAAATTGATTCATAAAAATGTGATATCAGTTAAGTACTATGCTAAGAGGTAACCCATGCAATCATACAATGTCACAAAGGAAAATATTTGCTACCTCAAGAGCTATATGAGGGTGTTTTAGTAGTGTGAAGTGAGCTCATATATTGAGTTGATCTACCATTGCCATGATGTAATTGTACTCTTCTTATCTATGTAATCCATCATTAAAGTCTCTAATTGATTCCTCACATATTTGTTTGATATTAAATTTTTTGTAGAAGTCTTACAAGGGGTATCAAGTTTCATAGTTTTTCTTTTGATAGGTAGCACATTATTCCACATTCTCAAATATTATGTTTCATGTTGCTCTAGTAATTTTATTGAGTGATGTGTTTGTAAGTCTAAGAATCTTGAGTGCCCATTCAAAGTGTTGATAAAGCAATCTACAAAGATTGTCAATATTAAAATCAATTTTTTGGGGAGAACAAGTCACCCCCAATGGTCATCCTTTTGACCCTTATCCTAACATATGTATTATGCAAGATGACATGTCCTTTGAAACTTTCTTTGAAATTTGTTACATGCCCAAAACACATTGAGAAAACTATTGTGGTGTGAAGTTCTACTTGTTCCTACTACTTAAAGAGAACATTTGATGTCCAATTATCAAGCTCTACTTTGTATTTGATCTCAAAATCATATCCCATGATTTTGGATAGTCATTTTAAGACCCCAAAGGGATCTATTACTATTCCAATAAGTATTAGATATTGTTATTATTTGTGTGGAAGATGAAGTGCTATCTTAAGAGATAGTGCCACAACTTTTGGACTACTAATATTATACCCATTAATTCATGCTGATAGATGACCTTTAATTAACTTTTAGTGATAATTTTTGACTTAATAAGGTGATTCATTGTCACAATTATATCAGCATCACATTGATCCTATCTTGATGTGTTAACTATGATTTTAGAATTGTGAGAAATCAAATAGAGTCAATACTAAAACAATAGTTGAGGTTGATTTGTGTTGCATAAATGGTTTGTACAACCTCTTGTCAATTGAAAGTCTATTTTAAGTTTTTAGGTCAATAGCCAAACCAAGGACCCATAATTCCAACAAATCACATGTGATATATTTTGAGTTTATGGGCCTAGCCCACTCTCTCTCTCTCCTCACCCCTATATGTATAAGGCTTCTACCTCTTCTTTATTTTATTTAAGTTATTTTTTGTTTACATGGTATTGAGGCCATAGTGCTCCACTAAGGTTTTCTATTGGTGTCACTGTCTCCTTGGCTAGCACTCCACTATCTCCACGACGACTCTTTGAGCTACATTGCTTTACTAGGATTTTCTATTACTACTGTCATTTCCTTGATTGTCACTCTATTGCCATCTTGACATGATTTAGTCATTGTATGATAAATTTAAATATTTATAAAACTAAAGAAACTAATTTTTACATATTTAGAAGTATTTTTAAACAAATATATCAATTATAGTTTAATAAAAGTTTCAAAAATAATAAAGATTTTCTAAGTTGATCACAAGGATGTAATATAATATCAGATAATTTTTAGAATTTTTTATAAAGAATATACTTTTCATGATTTTTAGACACTAATGAAAATAAAACATATTAAAATTTCCCATTTAAAAAATAGAAATAAGAGTGCAAATGTCAATATGATGTCAACACCAAGACAAATATGAATCAGGTGGAAATAGAGTTCTACATAATTATTCTTATGTAAGTAATTATAGATGATTTAATTTGTCAAATTAAGATCAATAAAAATTAAAAAAAATCATAATTAAATGAAGAAGGTTTTTGAAAATTTAAATCACACAAAATATCACTAAATTAAGTAAAAATTAAGTTGTAAGAATGAAAGACATAATTATGATATTGCGACAATGATTAGTAGAATACTATATGCTTAGGAGGATTATTGAAAATTTTATATGACCTCAAATACTCCCCTTGGACATGGATGACTTAGGCATTCGTTGAATCTCTTTTTGAAGTTTATAAAATGAGGGTGGAAGTTTAAACTGATTAAAAATAGTAAAACAAAGTTCTAGCATTACAATGGTGATGCGTCAAAATTCTGTGTTCGAAAAGAGTATCATGAGATGTCTATGGCCTCAAATTCTCTCTTTAGACATATACAAAGTAGGTAATGTCTAAATCTTCTTATGAAGTCTAGAAATCAATGAAGTAGGTCAACGAATTATCTTCAACGGTTGTCATCTAATGGAGTAAGAAAATGATGACTTTGTGGATCTCTGACAATTGTTACCTGATAGAGATAAGTTAGATGGAGGTAGGGTGTATTTTAGGGAGCTTCATCCTTAGGTCTGGAGTATGTGAATATCTTTATAAAGTGACATCATAAAGGTATCTCTTTTTCACAAATTAGGGGCATTGTAGGTATTAAAAATTATGAAAAACCTTTTTTGGGAAGTTGTGAGCAATTTAGTGCCACATCACTTATTTTTGAATTATGAGATGAATAAATAATAATACAAGATTCTATAATCAATAACTCTCTATTTCTCACATATATATGACTACTATTTGCCTTATGCCCAATTGGTCATTAGTGACATTAAAAAAGGAGTGACGCACATGTGTCACTAACCTCTACACATAAAAAAAGAGTGATGCACATGTGTGACCTAGATTACAAACCCAATTGGTCAGTAGCTCCTCATTTTTCTATAATTTTATTTTATTATATTTTTCTTCATTTATCTCAAAAACATGATTATCAAAAATTACATAAATTCACATAAAATTATATAATTAGTTAAAATTTTAAATTAATTAAAAAATTATTTTTTATAATTTAATATCAGTATAAGTTTATTTATCATGAGTTAAGGCTTATAATATAGTATTCATTAATTATTAATTCATGATAATGAAGACTTATTATATCTCCACGATGACTCTTTGATAGTCATTTCCTTTATGCATGATCTTGTCATGTTGCTCTCCTACTAAATGTTGTCAAGTGCTGGCCCACCACTACATGTGACCACGTGTAACCACTACTATGCGTTGTTGCACACAAGAACACGCCGTGCATAGTCATTGTTTAATATTATGTAGTCACATGATGCCTTTGCCTTTGCACATAGCAGCCAAGACACACTAGCATGTTAGCGTGCATGCCAACACACCCATTAGGGCTGGCCAGCACATAGCACTTGCCAATGCTCTCCAACTAGTTAGTACTCTTCTATACTCCTCTATGCCCTAGGACCACCCCAAGGGCCTGCCTACCCTCTTATGTGCCCTAAGACACAACGCAAGGCATGTTTGTCCTTCTTTGTGCCTTAGGGCATCCTAGGTGTACATCTCCAACAA